AGCACACACTATTGCGACTCGGATTCGATAACGATTGAAGAAGATTATGAGCACGATTATTCATGACTTGTTTGTTGCTCGAACGTTTAGCCCCTCTGCAAGTTTACACCCTGCAAAGTGTCATCCGAAAATAATAACGTCAAGGATCCATATCGTCGTCAGATACAGGATACCTTGTAGGACTTAATTTTCTGAACAACGTGACACGCCGTATGTGCAATGTACATGCAATGTTCCGGATCGTGTTCTGCGACTGATGTAACGTGTAGGTATATGTATACTCGGGAACGATCACAGTTACATTCGTGTTACATCGAGCTCGCGCGTTTGAATTTAATGAGTGCTCCATTTGATATCGACTCGCTTCTCGTGTGTCACGACGGGATACAATTCGTGGTGCGTAATGTTTTCAAATCGAAAAATTTATTTCCGTCAATGGAGCAGGAGAGACGACATGTGCTTGTCTGTATCGCTACTTGTTTATAATTGACTAGAGTCTCTTATATAACTGCGTTCGCATTCCATGCACGGATAACAAAACAGTTGGTTAACAACTTGGGATTATTGACTGCTGACGGAAACGCATAAATTTGATAGGCACGAAAGAAAGATCTCTGTGCGTGTAAAGGTGCTGCCAACCAACCACGCCTTGTTCGAGAGAATTGCATTGTACATTTTTTCGTACATTTTATTCTTGTGCACTTGAGAATTTTATTATCGCGATAGCTTCTCGTAAAGTTAACTCCACCAATATTGCTTAGCGTTATTTATATTTAATTATATAAATTATCTGTCTATTTATAGATATTATATTCAACATTCTATAGAAAGAGAAAGAGAATTATTTAATTTACGATTAAAGATAATCAATGTTGATAGAAATTGACTGTTAAGATAATTAATCTATCATTTATGTAAAGACTAGTATAAATATTAATTAAACTCGCGTTAATTTTAATCAATTTTATTTATGGAAATACATAGTTCCATATAGAGTAAAATTTCCGAGCTTATTCAACCGCCTGGATAAATATATAGTACATGAAAGAGTAAAATAGCTTTCGCTTATGCTATCAACGCTATATACTATGTAATCAACAATCTAACGTATGATTAATCTAATGTATAACTTCCGTATTTGCTCTCGTACGCGCTGACGTAACAATCCGACAAAACAAGGCCGCTGTAAGGTAAACAAATGGGAGAGAGAATAAATCGCGTGATCGATATATAGCCGGCGGTATAAAGTAGCGCTGTCTCAAGAATTTACATATAATCAGACGACTGAGAAAAGTCGCCGACTCTCTCGAGAGGAGAGAGAATATACGCGACTCCAAAGGTCGTCTTGTTACGAGGTGATTCCTCGAGTGCCGAGTGGTCTTTGCCATTTCCCATGAGCGCAAAGCCATAAAGGCGGCGGAGGTCGACCAACCAACCAACCAACTAACCAACCAACCAGCCAAACAGCCAACCGACCAGCACGATGGATCACAGCGATAAGAGTATATGCAGCGTGTACAGTACCGGAAGTGATCGCGCCGTTTCGAGGAACGGAGAAGTCGTTCTCTCCGACGGCAGCCTCCGTCTCTTGTCTCTCCGCGGTGTTTCTATATGTATTTTCCCCGCGGTGATATTTTCGCGATATATTTTTCGCGTGGGCGCGAATCGACCGAATGCCAGTCCCGACACTACCACCTTTTACTTCGAGACGCCAAACGAATGCTGTCTACGTGGGCAGCGCGAAGAAATAGTATTATAATAAAGCCTCGTGGAATGATAGAAAGGTGCAGGCTGCTAATAATAGCCTTTCACAGGGTCGCCGCAGGTCGGCAGGTGTGCTCGGCTTCGCGTTTATCTACTGTTCTCTCGGGATCGGTGTCGTCGATTTTGCGTCACCGTGTTGCCAGTTTTGTGCATATCGCGGGTGCACTTGCGATCTCGTTTTTTTATTTAGTTCATGCGTGATAAAAATGATAAGCTAAATGCAGTACAACGACGAAGCGATCTAGTTATTTGATTTTATTTAGAGCACTTTGCGTACCCCCTGATAATAAGAGCGGCTTTATGCATAAGAAAATGACGTTGCAGGTATCTCTCGATCGAAGATCGAGAGAAAGCCGCGAGACGACGCGACGCAGAGATCGAAACAGCCGTCATTGGCGAGAGATCGGTTCTTTTAAATTCTACCCATAGGCACATACAGACGGGTTATAAAGCATCCTAATGAAAAATAAGAATAAACCGTTAATGGCCATTTACACAGGGCCGCTAGTTGGGTGGTAAATGTCCATCGGCCATAAATTGTCCGTCTCGATCTCGCGGCGGTTGCGGCCTTATATCGCGGCGCCGCGTAGCACCGGAACAAAAACGAGGAGCGGAGCGGTTTGACGCATGCAGAACGCTTTCCGGAAAATTTATGACGCGTATCTAATTGTCGATGTTCGTCGTGTATGTACGTCTGAAATTGCGCGAATACGCTTCGCCGGTTTAATCCCGAGCGAGTTAAAACGAGTTAGAGAGAAAGAGAGGGATTAAGTCGCGCTCTAGAACGGACGTTTCGCGCGGACGTTTCATCGTTTCGAATAAATTGGTGTCACTTGACCATAAAAGAGGCATATAATTCTGAGAAAGAGGTATATAAAAAAAAGATGTAAAATCTCGCCAATTTAATGCGCGAAAGTTTGTCGCAAAGAACAAGAATTCGTCGGTCGAGGCTCTCGAATTCGGAGCACATGCTGATAATGCGTGCCAGATAACGTAGATACACAGAGAACACGTTCGGGGGACACGTTCGAGATGAGATTCTCACGACGAGGAGCGCGAGCCCAGCATCCACGCCCCGGAGACGTGTATCGGGTTCCATGATCCCGCTGGCCTCGCTCCGACGTCCGTCTTTCCGTCCGTCGTCGACAAAGCTCCTTGAAAATTGTGCCCGGTACACTTTTTTCCCTATTGTTATATAGTGCCGCGCTCGTTTGCAGGAAATAAAATCTCGCGCGCGAATGAAATCAAACTATATGACTGCTTCCAGCATTTAGATACCGTCTATTCAAAGTCGCGGCGCAGATCTAATTGGCAACTGATATATGTGTGTTCAAAGAGAGAGATATAAATAGACAGGACGATAATATACGAGATTGAAACAGCTAACATGAAAATTCAGCTAATCTGCGATTAATAAAAGAGATAAGATCATGTAGAAACGAATGTATCTTGTGAATGAAGGAGGATATTTTACATTCAATTAACTAAACTGAAGACGGATGAACGTCGAGCGTGAGAATAATTTCGTGATATAAGTTATCGAAGTCTAAATAGGCACCTTCAGCTCATTTTCAATGAGCATTGAGCGTGAGAATAATGTTCAAGTCGAAAGTAAAGGCACATTGTCGAGACTATGTGCCTTTTGCGTATGACCCGGCTTTCATGGAACGCGTATCAAGCGTCAAGATAGACGTAGAAACGGACAGCGAGACATCTCGGTCTGTCGGCGTAAAGTCGAAAGAATAAGAACGGAGGAGGACTAGGAGAAAAGGTGGGTTTATATATTCGGCCTATTTACGGCAATTGTTTAACGGGAGCTCGCGAAACGGGCGTTTTCTACACGTTAGTTACACGCGTAATTGGAGACCTGCTCTTTCCCTTGTCCTGTTCGCGAACAACAAAGGCAACCGTTGACAGACGTGCAGGGAAATTGCAGAGTTGCACCCGCGGAGAAGGCGGGCCCGCGATTGCACGAACTTTAAATAGAGTTCCTCTGTCGGCTGAAACCTTTAATTATACGCGATCGGCGTAACAAGTGGCTTCGCGAATGTATTGTTGAGCCTTGATGGGTATTTCGCGCGACTATACGTTCATTAAAATATTTAGAAATATCTTCTTATATGCTTTATATCGATATCGATATACAATAATCGATTTTCCCGTACTTTAAATTTCCTAAATTTTTCTGTTTTGAGAACCTTGATTATAAGTTGTTAATGAAGCAAATCATTTTCTAAATACAATGCTATTTTGATATATGTATATAGAATATACTCTTATTAGACTTAAAAATGTCTCATTAATATATTAATATATTATTATATATTCTTATAACATTATCGCGATATAGAGGAATGTCACGCGTTTCGCATCGTTGACATCCATTGACTTTCTCGGTATCGACATCGAAAGGGACATTAGAAATTCGTCGCACGTCAAACGAAGTACGGGCCTCGCGGAGAATTTCGGGGTCTTACTCGGGTTTAGAATAATCCATATTCTTTTTGTGGGCGTGAACCAGATGTAGAAAAGCACGCAGTCGCGGTGTCGCCAGGTTACCGTAAAACGTGACTGGAAGAATAAGGATTTCGATTCTTCTATATCCAAGCCACGGTCTCCCCAGGGCTAATAAATTCACTGTCTTTTTCATATTCACCGATCGCGTTTGTTCTTTGACTTCATTCGCGGTAGGAATCCGAGTTAGCTCGTAAATTGGAATATTTTTCTTCCGCATTTGAAATCGTGTGTGTGTGTGTGTGAAGTTAACATATCATTTCGTGGAAGATCATAAATAGTTGAGAATTCTAACTTTATTTTCACATGCTCAGATTTGTATCAGAATTAGGTATTTCGTAATAAGCAGAATTGTCGAAAATTGAGCGGCGTTTTATTTCGATATGTTCAAGTAAGAGATTTGCTGATGTTTATTTAGTTCTCATTAATATTTTTTATTTTTAGAAGGCAGAACTCTTCTTAGAACTTTTGTATAAATTTGAATAATTATTGATAAAGAAAGTGTTATTATATGTATAGGATAAAGTGATGTACTGCATGAAATTGGTATATCAATTTGTTCTTAGGCATTTTCTTTAATTTAATGGACAGAATTATTTGTTTAAACAAACTATTAAGAACTTAAAAAAACCGGAACTCTTAATTATGAGTTTCCACGTAATGAGACGCTTCATATATCCCTATTATCGCTACAAAAATGTTATAAACAATTTCTCACTCACCGATACGTGCAATATCACAGTTGTGGAGCGGAGTACACAGCATATCGATCTGAAAACAAAATATTCAAATTATATACATACATGTGTATATATACATACATATATATTTTTTTAAATTTTTATTTTGCATACCTTACAGTTGCCCCGCTGTTGCCCGATGCCTCACCGGGCCTCCTCCTCCTCTCTTGGTCTATTGTAGCCGTAGCACTCGCACAACACTCGCGAAAACACGAATAATTATGATCCTCCCGACACTTTATACGGCACTCCCGACGCGCGCAATTTTACACGGCACTCCCGACACGACACAAATCGCCCTGTGTATCGCAATGGTACCTGTAACAAATAAAATACATATACATATATTAGAATAATCTTATTATTTCGTATTATAATATACACAATATAAATATGTAAGCTATAGAATTAATGATAGATATATCCACTCGAGAACTATTGAAATAAAGCCAAAACTCTCAATTATTTATGATCTTCCTTTAAATAATATGCTAGCTTCATACACACCATGAAATCCGTGATCTATGTGATCACGAGTGCAGCATAATAAAATTTAAATGACTTTTTTTATCGCCGTGTGTATTTCTTAAAGAAATGTGTTTTGAAATCGGTGCACGTATATGAAAATGCGAGAGGTCGAGAAAAAATTTCAACATGAATGCAATGTCATTGGATTTAAGTAACTATTACGTTCCAGCTTTGAAAATAAAATTACGCGATTATATGATAAGACAAATAGGAATTTATCGCGATGGTTATCTAAATAAATGGAAAATATAAAATTACGTCGTCGTCGCATCGTTTATTTTATCTCCGAGGGAGCTAATATATGACGGACGGTCGTAAAATATATGATGTACGTGGGACCATAATGGCGCAAAATTTATATTGAGGCATAAAGTAAATTATGTAAGACACGGGCGATGATAATTTGCCGTTTAATTAATTTCTAGAAAAAATAACGCGACTTCGGCTATATCGAATGTTAATTTTGTACATCTATTATTTTGCAGGTGATATAGAGGACTGTCTGGTGGCTCCAGTTTCTCAAGGTCAGTTCACGCCGTTGCCGGAGGCTCTGTGCTGGGCCATTCTGGAGTTGACTTCCCAGAGGCAGGCGGCGACCTTGGATACCCTCAGATCAGCCCTTAGAAACGCCTTCCCGGCCATGCAAAGGCCCAGCCGAGAGCTCGTTTACGATGCGTTAGCCAAGCTCATGCAAGAACGAAAGATCTATCACACGTCCCAGGGCTACTTCGTCGTAACGCCGGAGACCAAGAGGCTTAGACGCGACTCCGGTAGCTCCAGGCGGTGTTCCAGGGACGTGAACGGGTCCAGAGGTCAGGGTAGCATGCTGATGAGCAACGACGAAGCGGTGGCACTCGTACACGGCGAGATGCTCACTCTGCGAGACGGCGATGTTACGCATCAGGCCGTACAGACAAACTTGGCGGACGTTATTTGCGGAGGTAAAACGACTCTCACGTTCATTATTTTCTGAGCCTGACATCATCTCGCGAATCTCGTTCTCTCGAGAGACAAAGTTCAAAAATTCGCTAATGGTTCGTGTATAATCCGAGCCGAAACGCGGCGAAGATTCTTGAAGAAAATTACTTAAGTAACATTTTTTTGCCATTTATTTTAGCTACAGAATATAAAATCGCGCGAAGTTAAATTGCTAAAAGGGACAGCTATTAATCATAAGGATCATAGATATATATTATAACGTGTGTCCTCTTATGTGGAAGTTGTCATACAAGGAGTTAATGCCGTGAAAATATACCGGTTGTATAGCATGTATGTAAAAGAGAGTGTCGGGTGAGGACGCGATTAACGTTGCTTTCGTCTTCATTCAGTAGTAGTCGTGGAGTTCTCTGCGTCTTTAAAGTGTCGCGTATCTTGTGTTGTCTCCCGCGGTGCGCGATACTTATTCGAGGGAAAGTTTCCCATTTGAATCACCCTATCTCGCGATAACAACCGTGATAATTAATTGTAACTTATAAAGTTGTCTTAAACGAAGTAAACGCTTCGATAACATATTTTTACGGTTTATAACATGAACGTGCATTACGATCAAAATTCAGAAAAATATTGAATGTAATGCGATGGAGAAATTCTTGTTACAGAAATTATTGCTATATAAAAATCATAGATATTTCGCAGACCAGCATAAAATGTACAGACATATATATTTGCCTGCACACTTATAATATCTTGTGTAATTTTCGCGATGACGTGCGTAAAAGGTGGACAAATAAATGCGTGTGCGGCCGGGACCGAAGTCTAAAGAAAAGATCGCTTTCGCCGTGTCTCTCTCTCTCTCTCTCATGGTGCAAGGATGCACAGGAAGTCGGAGGCCTCGTATACTCGCGACGAGGAATTTGCTCGCACCGGCAGACCGGTCGCTCGGTCCGGGCAAACTCGTTCGGCACGTGTGTTCGGGAAACGTTCCGATTGTGTCCAGGAGGAGAGCAGTCCACTAGCTGCTCACTCTCCGAGGCCTTTTTCTCGTCGCGACTCGACGGACGGGTCGGGAGAGCGTTTATGTTGTTGTCGTCCTTGGTAGCCACGCAGGCCCTGCCGCCGGAAGATCGTCAATTCCTCTCGCGACCGCTTACGAAAGATCGGCGTGCTATCTTAATTTCGCTTTTTTGGCCATGTTCGCGGAAATCCTGGGAGAGAGAGAGAGAGAGAGAGAGAGAGAGAGAGAAAAAAAAGAGAGACAATCGCGTTCGTCATCTCGCATACATATCCACGTTTCTTATTCTCGATCTCTCTGTCCTCAACAATCTGTATCGAAGAAATGTTGCGATCGATCCCGAGCTGATCTCTGATTGCATACATAAAAAAATCGCGATACAATTGAAACTCTGATATTAGCGCGATGCGAATCCAACGAGCTATTTATGCGGGTTTTTTTTATTATCTTTGATAAAAAGTGTTTGCGTCTCTCGCGATATGTCGAGTTATTTATATTAAAGCAGCGTATGCGGAATTTCTTGCGGCCTTTTTTATGTGCGTCAAGTGTCTGTACGTGGAGAATAGAGCCACCAACATCTCGGCACGGCACACGTTTAAGATAGGGAGAGAAAGAGAGAGAGAGAGAGGTAACGAGATAGAGAAACTGACGATGCCTGGAAAGCGTTTAACGCAACCGATATATTAGCTATTGGTCACGACATTGTCTACCGTTACATACGCTGTCGACATCATGCGGGGGAGAGGAAGGGAAGGCAGAGGACCACACGTATATAATCTTCCTACTTTTCTCTTACTCGTTTCTCGGCTGATTCTCACGCTGGTAACCCACTCGTCGTCGGCTGGTACGTCGGCGTATCGCCCGTGGCTATGTACCAAGATGAAACTCTCAGGAATGAGGGTATTCCACTTTTTTGTTTTTTTTCTTTTTCTCCCCTCCCCCACCCCTCTTTTTCTTTTTTGAGAACGTAGTTGTGCAGCATATCTCTTTATATTATCCCTTTCAGCCGAAGCGACGCGTCGCCTCGCCGTTCTGATATATTTCGCGAAGGTGTGGATCTCCATTTAACGCAATGTTTTTCCGACGTATTTTCACGAATATTCAGATTTTATTTAAATATTATGACGCCCGGAAGGCGAAGACAACCAAAAAAATATAATTCATTCTTCTCGAATTGAACATTACTCATCAATTTAGAGTTCTCTTATATTATATAACAATATTACATAGAGATCATTTTCTCTTAGAATTTATCCTCAAAATCGTGGTGGAATAATATGTGGTAATGGAAGAATTTCATACGAATAAAATTTTTATAGTAAAATGTACATATTAATATGTATATACATATGAATCTTTATTATTGTGATAAATATTTAATCAGAGAAACTCTTATAAAATACGATTATCAAACCACGATTATCATGATTTTCAGGGTAAAGTCTGAGAGAAAATTCTCTCCATGTATGATATATATAATGTAATGTTTTTTTTTTACATTCGTTAGAAATAATTTGGATGATCTCTACTTCAGGAAATCCAAACGACAAGGTCCTGTTCGCCAGGTGCCGGTCGATGCCCGGCCGTCTCGAGAGGCGACACTCGTTACGGCTCTGGGGCTCGGCCAGACGTTTGCACAGAAGCGGAAGTTCGCGGTCCCTGCCGCGAAGACCCGAAAGGAGCGATACATCTTCCAGCGCGGAATACGCCAGCACGGACAGCGCACCTCACAGTCCAACCAGTAAGTCTGATCGAGGAAGGGATTGCGTGGTGACGGGTGACCGCTTTAAATTATAAGTGAATCGATTTAAAAATACTTTCTAAATCGTGTATAAAATTGCCTTTTCTCAAAGACAGAATGTTGCTTTGTATATATGTAATTAAATTTAAATCGATTCGCAAGAAAGACTTATTCGTTGCACATTATGCCTTGTACGACTTTTTATTAAATTTCTTTGCGACTAATAATTATTTTCACATAGTGAAATAATTACAAACAGGTATTTCATGTACATAGATCGTATAATAACAGAAATCAAAGCTTTTTAGTCACCCTGTAGCTGGCAAGCCCTTCCTTGATCCTCATTATCTTCTAACGAAGCGCAACAAATCCAAATCCCTTTCTCAAGGCTTTTCTGGGATTTTTTCAGAGAAAATAGGCCTGCTCTCCAGGCTCTTTCGGCGGAGTACACGAAGGAAGGGCACACCGTTAATGGGCACTTTCAGTGCTCAGTATCCCCCCACCGAGTGGTTTAATCCGCGTGTTGTGCATTTGCACAGCGTTGCCACGCAGACAAGGGCCGCCAGTCCTTCGGTAAGTCGCATACAAGTATATACCTCGACAAGAACTAGTGAAATAAAACTTCTTACTGTAGTACTTCTCTAACGCCGCGAGGCTAATTAACCGGTTCCCTCCAGACAGTTAATAAAAAATCTTGAGGCGACAATACACATTCTAAGCTATTTATAACAACGAACTTGCAAATTTGATAATATTGAAGATAATAAATAGTTTAATTGAAATAAAATTAGAAGCGAATAGAATTTTGAAGAAATGAGATCGATCGAATAAATCTGCCTTCAGATGATGGAAGGTCTCGACCAGTCGCAAGCCAGTTTTCAAGTATGGGACGATTCAAGCTCGATGCGATCAGCCACTTTGCCGAGGCGACATCGACGTCAAGCCAGCGGTGACTCCTCGAGCTTGTTGGCCAACTCGACGCCAAGAAGCTCTCGAAGGCATCGGTCACCGTGTTCTACTCTACCGAGATCCAAGTGTTCCAGTCTGAGCAGATGCACGTCCAGAGCATCCGTTTTACCGCCTAGCACAACTAATCAGGAGACCTATCAAGCACGTAATCAGGCGCAGAACGATAAAAATTCGACCAACTCATCGCCTAGCAGAAGTGGCGGCAGCTCGGGTTCTGTTAGAACGATGAACGCGAGTCCGGCTAAAACAACCACGTTGGGCAGGCCCAACACCAGGCAATCCAACTCTAGAAGACCGAGTCACGACTTTAGCAACGGCGGCAGTAAATCGGCTAATGGCTCTCCACAACATAAGGTAGACATAAATTAATATTTTGTTATAAATATTTATATAAAACGATATATTTTCGCGTATATAATTTCTTTGAATATATATATATATATATATATATATATATATATATATATATAAATTATTATATTTTATATATACATATATATAATTATTATATTTTATATATATATATATATATATATATATATATATATATAAATTTTTTTCTGTATTACTTGTTTAAGAAACGTAATGGAAATTTTAATATTATATAAAATTTTATTCTTTCCAGGTAAAAGTTAGATGATTAATCTTTGTAATTTTAATTTTTGAAGTTTGTTTTATCTGTGTGTAACGAAAGATTTATTGTTTCAAGGTATTACAAAAACTTCGTCGGGTCACTCATCTCACTCTAGTGGCAAGTCAGTGTCTAGCACGAAGCTGACTTGTTCGCCATTGAAAACGGCCACATTGTCGACAAAATCATCACCGCTCAAAGTTGTTCAGCAAGGTTCGCTGACTCCTCTCCAAGAGGCACAGAACTCGATAACTCTTCAGGTGTCTACTAATCTGAGCCCATCGTCGCAGGAGCAACGGACGATACAGAATAGCGTGACGCTAGCTTCTAACACAACTAGTACGACGACCATTTCCGGCTCGCCTGGCACGAAGATCTACGTTCAACAAAACAACTCGCCGATGAGGTCCGTGATCACCTTCGAGAATGGCACGGTAAAGACGAAGATTGCTGAGAAGGAAGTAATCGATTGCAAGGAAAAGCAGGAGAGAGAGCTGGTAGCCGAGAAGGCCTACAAGACTCGGGTGGACGAGGAGAAGCTCTTCAAATCGAAGCTAGATGACGAGAAGTTGAACAAATGCACGGTCAAGGCCGAGCGTCCGTCGTCGCTCTATGCATCCAAGGAACTCAAAACCAGTCTTCTACTATCGGAATCTGACAAAGAGAATAAACCGAAGATCGAGGAGGAAGTGCCTAACAAGTTGAAATTGACGAATCGCCTGAACAATAGTCAGGCTCATCTGATCGATGGCTCTACCAACAACGTCGACAAGAACGCCTTGGTGCACGAGGCTGCTGCCTTGTCCACCACGAAGAACACTAACGACGCAATGAATAATTCGCGCAAACTCAGCCTGTCGTTATCGAAGGACGCGCTGAGCTATCGCAATCTGCTGCGTCCCGGCTCGAAGAACAACATCGCTTCGAATCCGCCGTCGCCTACGAAATCGTACGACGGTTTCGGTGGCTCTTTCAACGATGTCTATATCGAAAATCTGGAAACGGCAAAGCAGCAACGGGCTCCGCAGGGTTCCGAGCCTAATCTGGAGAAAACTGTGAGCCGAGGCTCGGATCTACACTCTTATCCCAGTCTTAGTGACATGCAGGTTCAGTTTACTAGCCTGGCGGCACAGAAAATCCTCAAAGGTTGCCCGATCAACAGCGTGGATACTCTGGTGGAGGTGAACATGGCAGCCGCCGATAAGCCTAATAATTGCGACGTCACTGTTCACACGGATTTCGGTCTCGTTTGAAATTTTATCCTCGTTGATTATTAATGTCACAAATGAAGACAAGGAATTTTTAATCTTTGCATCCGACTATTGCATCCATGAAAAACAACGTGCCTCGAGGTGAACAACATTGAAGAATAAACGTTGTTAACGCGCCTTGTTACATCAAGATAGGGAGTTACTTTTCTTTTAATAAAAGGGCTATACAGATTTTGCGCTCGTAAAAAATGTTATACACGGAACACGCGTACAGTTACCAGTAATCTGTCACTTGTATGTACCTCTCTCTTTTGTTTTTTTAACGAGCAATCGTGTTTTCGAACAATCGCTGTGCCAATCCATGTATATTATCAAAACTGTTATTAAAATATTGTTATAAGAAAGATCAGGCCAAAATGCGATCAAGTTTTTAATTTTGTTTGTCTTAATTATCTCTAAATAAATTGTATGTCCACTATTGGATATATTAAATTACTGAATTTTATAAATATTGAATATTTTAAATTAAATTATCACATGTAATTTGTATAATTAAATAATACATATACAAAAAGATACATGAAACGCATCTTGTCTGATCTTCGTGTTCTGTACTTAATAATGTGCTATAATCTATAAGCACTATGATTTAAAAAAACGTAGATTTTTTAATTGATAAAGTATATAAAACGGATATTACTACTCATCTATGTATTTTATTCAAAGATTGCAAAAATAATGTAAGATCATTGTGAAAATTCGAGCATATTTTAGATTTTTTTAAATTCTTTTCAAATTTCAAGATATATATACATTAATTGAAGGGATACGCGTTTTGATAGTTTTGCATCGCTTTACTGGAGCTAAAGCGATTTGTCAAAGCAATATCTCATATGTAATAGTTAAACGTGATCCACAAGTAAGAAAAAAAAATTTTCTCACGAATAATAAAAATTTTTCCAAACTAAAACACTGCCATTTTATACACGCTATTATACATTTTATACATTGGAGACATATTTAATATTGATTATTTTACTTGCAATACAGCGATAAAAAGGACTTTCAGGTTTTTATAATATAGTATTTGCAAATGGTACAGCGAAAATTTTATATGTAGCGAGATTCTCGACACAACAATAATTCCTCGAATACAATATAATATCGCAATAAAGCGGGAAACAATGCCTGCCTTTTAATTAGCCGCGCATTATTAAGCACGAGCAAATTAATAGATTAATCGCAATGCCGTCCCCAAGAAACCCATAATGCAGCAAGGTAAAAAAAAAAAAAAATACGAGAGTTGTAATTCTCGCTGCGCTACATAGCGAAGATTTGATATATCAAGTATACATATATTATACATAGTGTAGAAAAAGAGCGTTTTTTCTTGGAACGCAGCCGGTACCATTCATAATTAGTGCAATCGTAAATCTATAAGTGCCAAAACTTGTCGTAGTACTTAATAAAACAACCGCCTTAATTAATTCGCCCGGCGATTCGCCGGTTTCGACGACGGTTTCGTAAAATCGTGCAAGTAAATCGCAAGAAAGTAATGCAAAGCGTAAACCGTAGTGTTAAAAATGGTAGGCAATTAAATAAGTATTGGGAGAAAAAAAAAAAGAAAAAGAGACATATGTGTGTCTCTGCTTTGTACATTTCATACTCCGTATCGCAAATTAACCGATCAGTGATGGGTTCAGAATTATCACCCATTCTCTATCTCAAGGATGAAGACGCCGACTTTTCATTTCTGTAATTTCTCGAATCCTTCAACCACGCTTATTGTTATTATCATTATTACATAAATATACACATTATGATCATTTATACAATTGTGGATTATATATTTATTATTTTATTATTGAAAATATTCGAAAATTTATTAAAAAATTTATTTAAAAAATTGTTATTCTTAATAATTTGTTCAATTTTGATTCAATAAGACAAATAAGAAGATATAGAATATATACAAATATAAATCTTTTAATATTAATAATAATTTCAATATTAATATTAATTTTTATTAATATTGATATTAATTTAATTAATATTAATTTATTTAATATTAATTTAATTAATATATTAATATTACAATTAATTTAATTAATATTAATATATCAATTATTTTTTATTAATATTAATTTAATTTATAACAAACGCGGAGAAGTAAATTTGTAAATTTGAAATAATTTCACGGAAATAGAGAATGTTATTAATAATTTGAAGTTTTCAAGATGAGAAAATTTTACTTTTATGAAAAAGTCTGTATCTATGAATAGAGTAACGATTCTCGAATCCTCGCCTCTTATTTCGTTATTAAAACTAACTTGTAGAGGATTATTGTATAATCTTACGACTCATTATAACAACGAAATATATATATATATATATATATATATATATATATATATATATATATATATATATATACATATACGAATAATAAAGAATGAATGAAGGCAGTTTATTATTTTATCGTTAATGCACTCACCGTTCAAACAGCATCCTTAAAGTTGCACACTCGCCATCTTATCACTTATCCGGCATCTCGAAAGGAAGAAGAAAACTCAGGCAATTAGTCAACCGGATTCTGAAAATTAACAAAATAAATTTTCGATTGTGTAAAGAATTGATTTCTTTAGCACGTAGAAACATTATATTCTAATTACCTTCGATTGTTTTTAGGTACTAATTAATAATTGCAGGAGCGATCTTCCGTTTGTACCGTCTACACAAAAATTGCACACGAAACTAATAATAAGAGAGACAGAGAATTTAAATTGCAATAGTAAAAAAACTGGCGCCATCGAAAGGCAAGTTTTCATGAGACGTGGAAATTTTTTATCGAGCAGCCAATGAAATCGTCCGGTAGAGCTCGACAATTGGACAATTCCGGAATATCCCTAGCTTTTTGCCGTTCTTTATAAATCCTTGCGTTGGCACTTCTGATTGTGGCACAAACATTAAAGTCAAGATGGCGTTAACTGGCGAAGAACGCAAAATATGAGCGGTTTGAGTTTGATAAATTTGTATAGTTTGACAGAAATCAGAAGCAGCGAGGAATATTCTTACGCACATGAATCTGCCCTATTGACGGATTTATTAAAACAGTATATATGCTTGTGAAAATTTCTGAACATTCTTAGCAAAGAAATCTCGATAAACGCGGGATTTCTTGCGCCGCTTCGTGGATTTATTGCGCGTTTTTCTCGTCAGATGTGAATTTTATTGTCAGACACGTTGAACGCGAATAAAGGCCGAGATGATGCACAGAAGGGGCGGGAAGCGGATCCGGATGGACGATCCGGTGCCGCCAGAGTACGAGACCCCGATGACACCTATGACTCCAATGAACGACAATTCTGGCGGGGACGCGAACGACTATGCTGCTTACACCCCTACGTATCAAGCGTCTCAAACGCCAATGCGCAATCCCACGTATATATCTAGTTTTATTATAAAAACAATGCAATCCCACTTTCTTTATCAATTAAGCATTATAATATACTATTGTATATTTGTAGTCCGGAACATTACTATTCCGAGAGCTATAGTTCACCGAGCACATCTCAACAGCAGTATCAGGAGCAGAACAATTTTGATAATCAGGCACAATTTGAGGCTCCTATGACACCTGCCACCCCTAACATGAGAATCACGAGGAACACACGTGCCAGGATGCGTGGTATATACAAATATGCATTTTTGTATATAAAATTATATAAAAAATGTTCTGATGAGTCATATGAAAGATTGTAATATATTTGATTTTATAGGAGGAGTGGTACAGCAACCCAAGTACAAAGAAATTGATACAGATTATACTCCACAAACCAGCAGCAGAGGAAGAGGTGGTGGGGGACGAGGACGTGGCAAAAGGGCACATCATTCGCATAGTCTGGAAGATGAAGCTAGTCTTTACTATGTTATTAGGAACAATCGTTCATCACTCACTGTAAAAAGATTAATTAAGATTAATACAAAATTGCAACAGAATGTTTGCATATTGAAAAATTTTTTTATAATATCTAAATATTGTTTGGCAGACCATTGTTGATGACTGGATAGAAAAATACAAGGGTAATAGAGAAAACGCGTTGCTTATGCTTATGCAATTTTTCATCAATGCAAGTGGTTGCAAAGGACGTATCACTTCTGAGATGCAACTTACTATGGAGCATGTGGCAATTATTCGCAAAATGACTGAAGAATTTGATGAAGTATGTTAATTATTAAATCATATGTTATGTTATGATTTAATATTAGCATACTTCCTCAAATTCTTCAACCATCTTATTAATAATCAATTCAACAATCAAAATATCAATATATAATAATCAAAGTATCAATATGTTTACATAATTCTATTTTCTTGCAGGAAAGTGGTGAATATCCCTTGATAATGACAGGACAACAGTGGAAAAAGTTTCGTGCAAATTTCTGTGAATTTGTTCAAATTCTTGTTCGTCAATGTCAGTATTCGATCATCTATGATCAATTTTTAATGGATAACGTTATTTCTTTACTAACTGGACTCTCAGATTCCCAAGTGAGAGCGTTTAGGCATACTGCAACTCTTGCAGGTAAATCTCAAAAAGCCTGTGTAGTTATAAATTATATTTTATAAACAAAATATGTATGTATATTAACAAAACAATTTCATTTGTAGCTATGAAATTAATGACAGCTCTGGTGGATGTTGCTTTGACTGTATCTATAAATTTGGACAATACACAGCGTCAATACGAAGCAGAAAGGCAGAAAGCACGAGAGAAAAGGGCAGCGGACAGATTAGAGTCCTTGTTGGCGAAACGAAAGGAGTTGGAAGAGAATATGGACGAAATAAAAAATATGCTTACATATATGTTCAAGTCTGTTTTCGTTCATAGATATAGAGATACTTTGCCGGAAATACGCGCGATCTGCATGGCGGAAATCGGAGTCTGGATGAAAAAGTTTCATCAAAATTTCTTAGATGATTCGTATTTGAAATATATTGGTACAAAGAATTTTTATTTTACATATTTTAATTAGAAATTATATATATATATATATATTTTCATATTGTACATGTAATTTTTTAGGTTGGACTTTGCACGATAAAGTTGGAGAAGTTAGGCTCAAGTGCCTGCAGGCATTGCAACCGTTGTACGCTTCGGAGGAATTAAAAACAAAGCTTGAACTGTTCACGAGCAAATTCAAAGATAGAATCGTCGCAATGACGTTGGATAAGGAATACGATGTAGCGGTACAAGCTGTGAAGCTGGTTATCTCGATCTTAAAACATCACAGGGAAATTCTCACTGATAAAGACTGTGAACATGTATATGAACTTGTGTATTCGTCGCATCGCGCGGTTGCTCAGGCAGCCGGAGAGTTTTTGAATGAGCGTTTATTTCGTCCGGAGGATGAACCCGTAGCGGATGTTAAAACCAGACGCGGCAAGAAACGATTGCCAAATACACCTCTTATACGCGATCTTGTTCTATTTTTTATCGAATCTGAATTGCACGAGCACGGAGCTTATTTGGTCGATTCCCTAATCGAAACTAATCAAATGATGAAGGACTGGGAGTGTATGACAGATCTCTTGTTGGAGGAGGCTGGTCCTGACGAGGAAGCATTGGATAATCAAAAGGAAACGTCCCTTATCGAATTGATGGTGTGCTGTATAAAGCAAGCCGCTACGGGCGAAGCACCCGTTGGTCGTGGACCCACTCGGAAAATTTTATCGGCGAAAGAACTTAAACAAGTTCACGATGATAAGCAGAAGCTAACGGAACATTTTATTCAAACATTACCACTGTTACTCGACAAGTACAGGGCAGATCCCGAGAAATTGGCAAATTTGCTGGCTATCCCGCAATATTTTGATTTGGATATTTATAAAAAATCTAGACAAGAGACAAACTTAGATTCTTTACTAACTAAAATCCACGCGATTGTTGAAAAAATGCATGATAGCGAAGTTTTAGATACAGCGGCTAAAACTTTAGAACATATGTGTATAGAAGGTCATGCTATTTTCACCAGGTATATATATGTGTGTATATATATATATATATATATATATATATATATATATATATATATTTCTCTTATACTATTTGTTTGAAGAAATATTTAATTTATTTTTATGTAGATGTGACGTCGCTCGTTCCACTTTGATCGACTCTATCGTAAATAAATATAAAGAGGCGATCGATGAGTACAGAAATTTGATTGAAGGAGATGAGGAGCCAGATGAAGATGAAACATTTAACGTTATCCAATCGTTAAAAAAAGTTTCTATATTTTATTCTTGTCATAATATGAATCCATGGAACATATGGGATTCACTATACAAGGACATAGAGGATCCTTCAAAGTATCTTTTTTATACTTACACTGTTTTACTCTACATAAAATTGTATATATTCATATGTATTATAATATTAAATTGTATATATAAATCAATTTGTTTTGTAGAGGTTTACCATCAATGGCAATTAAATACTGTATAAGCGCATGTTTCTTTGCTATTTTGTGGAGTCAGAATCATTCGATGGAAGCTGCAGATTCGGGCAGTCACGGTGAAGAGGAATGTCGGCAATTAAAGGAACGGTTGCATTCATTTATGGGTTCAATGCGCCATTTCGTCAATGGCGATGTGGTAATTATCCTACTTTCTTAATAATTCAAGAATGAGATTAATGTCTCTTACAATAATACTTATATATTTAATACTGAACAGGCGATTTTGAGGGAAGAAGCATACAATACGATATGTGATTTATTAGTATTATTCTGCAATCAGCTGACCAATCATACTAATCCTTTGATGCATCAATTAGTGTACGAACCTGACCAAGCAATGCAGAACATGCTCAACAGATTTATACAAGAATATGTCTTCTTCGAAGAGGAGGATGGTAAGCGAAATATCCGAATTAAATGCTTTAAATTTTGTAAATATTAGTTTATGTAATACGAATTTCTTTTGTAGACGAACACGATGAACATTCTAAAATCGAGGAACTACATAAGCGAAGAAATTTCTTAGCTGACTACTGCAAGTTAATTGTCTATAATATGATCCCCACGAAAGCGGCAGCCGATGTATTTAAACATTACGTCAAATATTATAACGACTATGGCGATATTATTAAAACTACATTAGGTAAAGCAAGAGACATTAATAAAACAAATTGCGCGCTGACAATGCAACAAAGCTTAAATATTTTATACAACGAGATAGTAACTGAAAAAGGCAAAGTGAACAGAAATAGTGAAGAATTCACTGCAATCAAGGTGTGTAATTATCATTGTATCCTACTATATAATAAGACAAAATGTATCAAAATCTGTGAAATTTTTCAATTATTTTTAGGAACTCGCGAAGCGATTTGCTTTGTCCTTCGGTTTGGATGCCGTGAAAAATCGCGAAGCAATTACCGCCTTGCATCGTGCGGGTGTGTTGTTCGCCATTACTCCACCAGACGGTGTCGAACAGGATCCTACAGGTCCACCACCGAATTTACCATTCCTCGAGATACTATCAGAATTCACGAATAAGCTTCTTAAACAAGATAAACGTGTTGTGTAAGTACTTATTATCGAATGCAATACACTCTTTAGAATATCTTTATATTTATTATGGTATTATTATGCAGACTCAATTTCCTGGATAGACGATTACAAGCTGGAATGCCGTCTTCACGAGGAGAAGATTGGCAGCCTTTACTTTTGTACAGAAATAGTTTATTACATGGTGAAACTGATCAAGTTCCAGTCACGAGTAAACGAGCTTACACGAGACGCAAGAAGGATCACTTGGCTGGTAAGAGATAATCTCTTACTATGATTATCTTAAAAGTACTCTTAATATATAGATGCCAGTTTGGATGCAATTTTATTTTCTAGAATTAAGTTAAAGAAGGAAATGACTGATAAATTTATTGTAATTTTGAATATTGTGCAAGTATATGTTAATTTTTTTTGTAAAATTAAAATTATTTTGATAGATGTAAATTCAAATTTTTATTCAAATTTTGAAAGAATTCTAGTAAAAACGAACATCAATAATTAGAAATTTAGCAAAACGCAGTTGCGTTTATAATTGTAATTAAAAAGTTATTAAGATTTAAGTCATTAATCTATTAATTTTAAGTCAATAAAATCGTTCATCATTTAAATTATTTTTTTATATCTTTTGCAGAAGAAGAAGATGCTGATGAACCTGATGAAGGTTCTGATCATGAGTTTGCAGGGTGAGTTAGGTGTACCCGAATAGAATATGATATAAATAATTATTCCATTCTATCAAATATTTGTCATTAGTACAAATTCAACTGTAATTGCAAGTAACTGTTAACATATAGCTCGGTACATATAACTCGATAACACAAAAAGAATCGAATGACTGAATACTTAATTGCGTTCGATTATCATGGCATTATAAAAATTAAATGCTTGTCTTTACTTGCTTTTGCAATGTGTTTAAACTATGCTATATAGATAATATGTATTATTTATCAAATTAGAAGCGCAGATACAGTTTCTGCACATATGAATGTTTCTTCTCCTACTATTGCTATGAGTATATGTTGCTTGCAAAGTGTAGAAGTAGTAGTAGTTTTATACTAATATTTTTTTATTTTACTGCCATTTTTTCATTAATGCTTTATTAATATTTTATTATTTATAATTTATTTACTTATGTAATTTTACAATATATTGCTATAATGAATTAAAATGCAAATAATTTATGCAAAATTAAGTAGGATCTAATAGCAAGTCGAACATATATCTAAACTTATATAATTATTACTTTGATATATATTAAAATATATTATAATTTTGCAGTTTTTGAATATCAAAATTTACAACATTACTGCGTATAACTAAATACCATAATCTATATTTTTTCTTATAAAAAAAGATCTGCGATCTCGCTTCTTGCAGTACAGCTGCATGCTTATGCTTAATTTATAAATATCACTTTTTAAACATTTATATACATATATATACAAATAAATATAGTGCAGAAATTGTATCTGTGCTATGTTTGCATGAGTAGTAATTTTAATCCCTTTCACAAGTGATTCAATCATTATAAAAGTCAAAGAGTATATATTTTTAAAGAAATATCAAATGTACATTTAAAAATGTGTATGAAAGGGGCAAAAATTATACAAAATATTTTTGATGTAATTTATTATACTTGGTGCCTGTTTTAATGACAGTAAATCACTTTAATTAGAATAAGAAATTATTAAGGGATAGCTATATATATATATATATCATTGGATCATATTTTTGAAACAAAAAGATCGTGCATAGAGAACGATGTGTGTATTTTAATGAGTGATTAAACTCAAGTAAGTTTAAAACTTTGTATTCTCTTTATATATTGATAATACAAATTGGTAATAGATATGTGAATAAATATGTGGGATTACTTCAAATAAGACCTTCTATTCCCAGCGCTCCTAAATCCTATTTTATCAGAATTAAAAATGATCAATTATTAGAAAAGCGCGACAAACTTTTTTATTAATCATCAATATAATATAAAGTATAAGAAAATTAATCATTTGTTTTTTCATATTTCCTAAAATTAATAGTCAACATTTCCCTTTCCATGACACGCCGTTCTCTATACCCATCATACTCTTCACAAAAAATGTATGTATTATTATTCATCTCTATATTTAATATTATATATCGATTTTAACAACGAAATTTTATTCTCATCCAGAAAATAACAATTTAAATAAAAGATAAATCTATATAAAGATAAAGTTGAATATCAGCTTGTGTGCAAATTGATTGTTACATATATTTATGTAACAATATCTTTTAAGAGATTTTTGTCCCTTTATTTCTCTAAATAAATTTTTATAGCAATAATTGTACTTTCACCTCAAAATGGACATTTTCACATTTCAGCAAACACAAAAAAAAGCGTCCACGGAAGAATCAGTGAGTAATTTATTCTCTTTTAATGTTATTTTCTAAATTAGATACACAGAAATATCAATATTGTATATGAACTGAAATATTGATTCTGTTCAATGCAGTTATAATCCAATAAGCGTTGGTAATTTTATTTCAGATTACCAGTTAATAAAGTAGTGATAACACGTGGACCTAGAACCAATACTTTCTATGAGAATAATGACACCGGACAAATGCAAACCTCTCCTTTGGCGAACATAGAAGATACATCGACAAGTCCTCCGCATGAGCTCGATAATAGACTTAAAACATTACAAATACAGTCATCACGAGCGTAAGTTTGGAAAGAGTAAATTTGTTCCATCATATATTACTATATAAAATTATATAATAAGTAAAACTAAAATAATTTTGCACAGACGAAGAAGTCAAGAGCATGTAGAGCACAGGGAATTACGAAGAACTTCAAGGAATTCGGGCAGATATGTAGAGGGGCAATATATGGTAATTTTATGCAATGTAGCAATTTAAACAGTCACAAATTACATAATGTTAATTATATAACAATGTAAATTAATTTATTGCAGGAATCTGATTCTGAGTAAGAAAACATAGTCCATAAAAGCTTTACTTTAATTTAGACAACTGGATTGTGATATGTGTTCAGGTATGTCATTTGAAAATTATAGACATACTTAACTATGGATGCTTCAGGAAAGCTATCAAAGCAAACATTAATACATTATTATATAAAGATATTAGATTAGCACATTATAAACATGTATAAGCAAAATTTAGGTTTTCTATGAGATTAAATTTATTTTATCATATATTACACAAATAGATTTCAGCGTGAATATTAATACCTTATCTATATAAGCAAATTTTCTTCTTTTGTCAAATTGATTTATTTTTTATTATACATTATATAAATAATACAGTATATATGTTTCATTTTTATATAACATGCATATAATGTCATAAAAGCTTTATTTTTTTGATTTAAATAAATGTATTATGATACATATTCAAAGCAGATATGGCACAAGAAAGCTTTCAGAGAGCAGGTATTGACAAATTATTATAATAGATTAGCATTAATATATATATATATATATATATATATATATATATATATATATATATATATATATACACATACACACACACAACATATATAAGCAAAATTAAAATTTTTTTTGAGATTGGATTTATCTCATTGTATGTTAGATTAATAATATGCAATATATGTATTACATTTTTCTATAAAAAAATAATTGCTTTGAAATTTTTTCTCTTTTTATTTCAACTATGTAATAATCTTTTTAAATATACAGATACAATTTAGTAGTATGTATAAAAGGATTAAGTGGAAAAAATATTTATATCTGACTTCCTATATAATTTGCAATAACGCTTGGTATATTTAAATGTTTTTATATAAAATAAAATATTTGTGTTACATGCTATTTACAATTATTACATGTTATATTATAGAAGGTTGAAATTATTTTATTCATCCTGTATTATAATTTTATGTAGAACTTAAATTACAGCATAAAATCAGAATTTATAAAATTACATGTACATATTATGTACAAAGAATGACAATAAATTAAAGCATAAAACCAGAAATTATCGTCATTCTTTGTACATAATATGTACATAATATGACACTATATATATCTTTACATATCAATTCAGCATTCCAATCAGTCCTATGGTAATCTAGATCTACGGAAAAGACTCAGCCTGCGTTTGGGTGTGCCATTCTATTAAAAATACATATAGATTTAATAACGACTCAATACATAAAGTTATTTATATTTCTTTGTACTTACTTCATCTTGTCGCTTTAAAGAGAATATGTTCTTTAATGAGTGAGGAGTGGTCGTCATTCTCCTATCTATATTCCGCTCTCTTAATATGCGTGAATTTGGGCTTTTTAATTCATTACCCTGTCGCAAAAGAAAAAGATTGTTAAAAGATCTTTCAATAATAATTTCAATAATAAAAAAGTTTACATGAAAGTATTATAAAGTTTTAGAAAACAAATTCTTTATTTTAATGGATTTTGAATCATGCATGATATGAATATGTAAGATTAAAGATAACATATATGGAAGTACCTGAAGTGACAATCTTCCGCCATTTTTACTTGGAGTAGGAGGGCCAGGTTTTTTATATGTTATCTATATGAGCATGGAAATCATCACAAACATTGAACAAGGGATTGAACAAGGGGTTTTCATAGAAAACGATGGAAATATAATGACAACTTCTTACCTGAGATCTATCTTTTTTCCTTATTTTTTGTTCTGGAAGAAGGCTTTGACTAAGACTATCGTTAAAATTATCTTCCACTGCAGAGCCCGTCTATAAAGAACAAAAAAATTACATATACAAGAGAGAACACATGCAATCATATTAACGAAACATTTTAAATATAGATACAATAAATACATAAAACATAACAATACACATTACAAAAAAATTTACTTTAATCTCTTCTTCAGTTAAAGTTGGAGGAAGGAATTGCATTTCCGCCGGATAAGATGATTTTAGATGAGGTTTACAGAGAGAATTCCTCATTTGTAATACGGACAAGCGATCCGCATCCATAACAGGTACACATTTACCTCTCTTCATATCGGCTGAAATACAAAAAAATATTGATTTAGATATTGTGGAAAAAATGTAAATTTTATCAACGTATTCATATATGTAATATGTAAATTATACCTAGATAAACATTATCAAAGATTTCTTCCTCGTCCTCCGTTTTAAACGCATTGCCCATTGCTTGTATGCTTCTAATACTATCTCTTCTTTTGAATGTTTCTTCTGTTATTATCACTTTTTGTGATACAGTTGCTTTCTGCATATCAGGTGATATTTCTTCTTTTTCTATTCTGCAATAAATTTAAATTAATTGACAGTGTTTGTTATAATTTATTTTTTTTATTAAAAAAATTCTAACACAAGTTGAATGCATACTTGCAAGTCTTGCGCGAAATTGTAGTTATTGGTTGATTTGCCTCAACTTCCTTGTACTTGGTTTGTAATTCTTTTACCTGCTGCAATGCATCGTCTTTCTGTTTCTGTTCAATCAAATACTTTTCTCCCAGACTCCAAAGTTGCGAACTTAATTCGCCAACATGTGCTTTATATTTATTGATTTCTTCTCTTTGTTTCTGACACATTACTTCCATTTGAGCCTGCAATTTTTCCCGTACGATATTCTCTTTATCTTTATTTAACTTTGTCATTTGTTCATTATAAGCTATTTTCTGAAATAGAAAAACATTAATATTATAATATAATATTAAATATGTAATATTATACAGTATATTAGAATTTATGTGAAAAAAATTTACAAATATAGATGTATTCTATTTACCATTTTTTGCTTCATATCTTCCAATTTTTGTTCGTATGTAGCATGAATTTCTTTTATTCGATTTTCAAATTCTTGTTTTACAATCTTGTTTGATTCATCCTTTTCTTTAAATAACTGTTGATTTTGTTGTTTCAACTGTTCCAATTCATTTTTCAGAGATTGCTTGTTTGACTCATCTTTTTCTTTACGTAATTGATGATTTTGTTCTTTCAAATGTTCTATTTCATCCTTCAGAGATCGCATTTCTTTCAAGTTAACTTCCAAATTAATTGGTGCTATCTCCGCTGATTTTAGCTTTTTCATCTCCGTCCTAAGATCGTCGATATTCTTTTCTAATTTTACATTTCTTACACGCATAGTATCCATTTTATTTTTTAGATCTTTTTTTTCTTTCGTCAATTGATTAACTTGATTTTGTAGTTTCTTCTCTACTTCTACTTGAGTCTTGATTTCGCCAGATTTTAAATTATTTTCGTAAAAAGTGGCTAAAGCTATGAAGGATTCTATTTCTTCATCAGACTTCATTATATCGTTTTGCAATGTTTTATGCTTTTCCACCTCTATGTCAATATTTGTTTTCTCGTCAGCAAATTGATCCTCTTCCACACTTGTCAATGCATCGAGACATTCCTTTTCATGTATTGAACATAAGTAAGTATCATGTAATTGTTGCTCCGTCCATAAAAATTTCTTCCATAAAATATCGAATATAGATTTAGTATTCTCTGAATAGGCAACTTGGTATTTCGACAATGTATTTTCGAGACTTGCTTTTTTAGCTTGTAACTGTTTGAACTCGTCGCAAACGGAGCTCTCAATGTGAAAAATATGTTGAAACTTTGTCACTATTTCAGTCCACTTTTGCATAGATGATATTAAAACAGTATCTAAGTCACTTTGTGAGGCAACCATTTTTTTCAAAGAATTTTTTAAAGATTCCTTATTTTTTATAAGATTTTTAAGATAGTCATTTCGTTTTTGCGCTATTATTTCCAATTCTCGTACTTTATTCTTCAAACTAGAGATCTCTTCTTTGTCTCTTACATTGTTTTCTATAAGTATTTTTTGCTCTGCCAAAGTTTTATTTAATTCAGCATTTGTGCAAGATAAAAGCAAGATAACTTTTTGAGATTTATGTAATTCATCAAGAGTCATTTTAATAATATTTGAAATATTTACGATTTTATGATCTGTGCATTCATATTGTGGTACATGGTATAAATCCTGATCGAGAAAATCAAAATCTGAGCATGTTTTCATAATTGTAGAATTCAAATTTTTAATTGGATGTTCCAATTCTTGGCACAGTTTTACAATTTCAATTTGACTCTGATCTATTTGCTTATAGTGTTCCTTATTTGTTTCAAGTTTTACACCCATTTCTCTTAACATTTCTTGTAATTCTGCTGTAGCCTTGTTTTGATTGTTAATCTGATTTTCTAAATCGAAGAATTTGATTTGGTATTCGCTCAATAGTGATTTTGCATCTTCGAGGTCCTTGTTTAATATTTTCTTAGAATTATCAAATTGTTCGTGAAGTTCTTCTATGTGTAAACATTTTTCTTTCAAAGCTGCTTCTTGAGTTGCTAAAACGGCATCCTGACTAGATCTTATTTCTTGAAGATTAATAATTATTTCTTTCATCTTCTTTTCCGTGGCATTTTTTTCATTTATTAGCTTTTCCATCTTAGCTTGTGACATCAGTAATGCTTCTTCTTTCATTTCTATCTCTTTATTTTTTGCTTGAAGCATTTCTTCATGTGAGTGCATCAAACCTTCTTTTTCTGTTTTTAAAGAGGAGGCCTCCAAAAGTAATTCGTGAATCTGCGCTTTTTTCAATTCTATTTGTGTAATTGTGTCATTCATTTCTTGTTGTAATAAACTGAGCTTATCAGTAGCATCCTTGAATTCACATAATATTTTAGTATTTTCTGATTTCAAACTTTCCAAATTATCTTTTGCTTCAGTTTCCATCATTGTATACCGTTCTTCCAATGTCCGATTTATTTCTTTTAAGTCTTGAATAGTTTGTTTAGATTCATTTAATTCGTTACAGAGATTTCTGCTTCTTTCTTCCAAATTACTTATTGTTTCTTTACTTTCTAATAAATTTTGTTGCAATTCTGCATTTATTATTTGAGTATTTGATAATTCCTTCTTATTGCAATCGAGATCATATTCTAATTTCTTCTTTTCTTCTTGTATGTTGTTAAAATTGTAATACACTGTTTGATAATCACATTGCAACTTTTTAAAGGTTAATTCTATATTTTTCTGATATTCAGTTAAGCTTTGCTGAGTTTCTTCTTTTATTAATTTTAAATCTTTCTTCACATTCTTGAGGTCTTCTAATTGTGTCATAAGAGAATTTAATAATAATTCTCGATTGAGTAAATTATTTGTTAACTCATGTATATTTGATTCCAAAGCAAGTTTTTCATCTTTAATTTTTTTTAAAACTTCAATTTCCTGTAAGTATTTATGAATAGTTTCTTTTTGGTCATTTAACAATAAATCTTGTTGCTTCTTGTTTTCCTCAATATTAGCTAAATCTATAAGTTTTTGCTTATTTTGTTCTTCTAAAGTTATAATAGTTGATTGTTGCTTAACTAAGTTTGTATTTATTTCATTTATTGTCAATTTTAGTTTATCTATGTCACATTTATATGAAATGTGTGCTGTGTTGCAATTATGCAACATTACATCAATGTACTTTATAAGATCATTAAGCGTCGAATTATCTAAATTGTTAGCTTCAACTTGTGCAAATTGATTGTTAAAACGTAAAATATCTTTTAAACTTTCATTGCAATTTTCAATGGAAGATTTAAACGAGTCTTTTTCATCAGTAACCTTTTGAATATGTTCAAGATGTTCTGTTATCTGCAATTTTGTTTGTGTTAGAGTAATGTTTAAATTTGAAGAATTAGTTTTTTCTTGTTCTAGTAATTTATTCAAGTTATTAATGTCTGTTTTTGAATTAACCAATTTTGTATTTAATGCAATATTTGACTGTTCTATTTCAGATAATTCTTCTTCCCTGCATGAAAGTAAGTTTCTTAAATCTTCATTTTGCGCAACAAGAGATGTTTTTTCCACTTGTAAGTTTGCAATATCTGTATTCGATATTTCTAATTCCTTCTGCAGATTATTTAATTCTATTTGTACTTGATCCAGTTTTTCCACCTTTTTCTGCAAATCTCTATTCGATTCCATAGCAGTTTTGTAATCCTTTGTAAGAATATTTAGTTTTCCGTTTAAAGTATCAACTTGAGCTTGCAATATAGCGGATTCTTCTTTAGCTTCCTGCAGTTGAATTTCAATCACAGAACTTAGAGCTTCACTAGTATTAAATGATATTCTGCTAGGAAGTGGTAAATCTTCAACTTCAAAACTTTGTTCTGTACCAACATTTTTATTTTCCAATTCTTTAATACGCCCACGTAATTCTTCATTTTGAATTCTAAGATCTACCAATTCTCTATCTTTCAATTCAATTTTACTTGATAAAGATTCCAAGGATTGTTCATAATTTGTACAATCTTCTTTATAGCGTACATATGTTCTTTGCACACCAGATAACTTTTTCGATAGAGTATCTTTATCTGTCTCCAATTTATCCATTTCATTCTGCTGTTTGCTCAATTGACTTTCCAAATCATCAATATACCTTTTATAATAATTATGTTGCGAATCATTTTCCTTTGACCGAGAAGGCTGTGGGGTAGCTGCTTTCATTCTTTCTTCTTGTAATATCTTTACTTGAGCTGATTTTTCATTGAGTTTTTTCTGTAACTTTTCTATTTTTTCTTGTTGAATTATTATGTCATCTTGTAATTCTGCATTAGTAAATCGTTCTACTGCTAAACTACATTTTAAATCTCTCATTTCTCGAATTCGGTCGGTTATTATTTTTTTACTATGTGTAGAACAAGTGGCAGGAGATTTAGACATTTTTTCAATGGATGGTGTTTTAAAATTGTTTGCAATTGTTGATGAATCTTCAACCTCCATAATAACTTCTCTCATAGTTTCCTTAGTAATATCTTTTCCAAGAGGTAAGACACTTTCCAAAAAGGTTTTAACTCTGATTTGTGTTTCATGCTTCAAGTCACACATATTGTATTGCAGAGAATTATTCTTTTTAGACAGTGTTCGACATGCATGCACCAATAATAAAGATGCAATGTATATATGTTCTGTGCCATCATCATTGTTGATTTTAAAACTAGGATATTCATCTGCAAAAATTAAAAATATAAAAAAATATTAATTCCTAAAATTACAAATGGTAGATATACCTACATTATATTTTGTTGCTAATTTTTCAATTTATATTTTACAGATTATAGAAATTTAAAATCATACATTTAAGATATTAAGTAATGTACAAAAAATATATAATATGCAGATGTTTACCTTCTAAAAATTTGATAATAATATCTTTTTGATCGTAGCTCTCATGTTTCTTCCATTTTCTATAACATAATAGATTAAATGATAGCTTATATATATATATACATATATTACATAAATTATATACTTACATTGATTTTAGGAAATTGGCATAAAACACTCCATCTTGCAGTTCTGTAGTATTTCTTATAGCATCACTCTGCACTCCCAAGCATTCAATCTATAAAGTTCAAATGTTTATTCATAAAGAGCTTGTATTTAAAAAGTGCCTCAAATTTGTAAATAAAATCGTAAAATATTTTAGAGTATATCAACAATATAAATTGCAGATAGGTAACAGACAAAATAATCAAGGTAATAATCAAATAATCGTGAAATGTAGATCTCAATAAGTAGTAAGTAGATCTCATAAAAATTGGAATATGCTTATAATTTAATGTTCTAAACATTGCTTAAAAAGCTACAAAAATGAAAGTAAAAGATATAAAAAAGTGAATTGATTAGTAAAAATATTATATTATTATACATGTATAGGGGAGCACATATATAATAAAAATGATACATTGTACATGAATTTTTATGGAGTAATGTAATATGTACTCGAAATAATTACCCATTCTATAATAATCTTTTCCCACAGTTCCATATCTATCTATGTATTATCGTATTTATAATCCACATAATTCACCACGTAAAACTTTTTTTCTCGTACAGTTCCAAACCGAGTTCGTTTGATTTCGAACAACGGATATATTGCAGGTTAGACAACCGTATTACAACGTAATGTAATACAAAACGCAAACTCGCGACGAAATCGCAAATTTACTAACGTTGTGGACCAATCAAATTTTTCGTCACATACACTCCATTTTCAGAAAAAAGTGCAAAAAAGTGCAAATTGATCAAAATTAATTCGTCATTAGAATTAGTTTGTCAATATTTTTCTGAAAACATTATATTTCAATAGTTTCTGAAAATAGTATATTTATTATAATTCAACAATTTTCGCTCAACATGACATAACTTTTCTGTCTTTTTTGAGAGTGTAGAAAAGAAGGAAGGAAGAGTTTGTAGGGGATTTAATTATAAAAATAGCGCAATTGGTAACACTGCGAAGTGCATTTCTCGGGTGGGGGTCGGTGTTTCGGAAGTTTACGACGAAACTCAAACTCGACCGGCGAACGAGGAAAATTGCGTGATAAAAATCACAGGAAAGATATTCGAGGATTATCGTGGTTTTAAATCCCATGTGATCCGCCGTTTTTTTTCGCGTCGAAAAATAGCCGCGTTATGGGCCTAATTTCAGATCCACTTCTGTTCGCGATTGCGTTGATAGACACGGGCTCTATTTTGTTTCTCCTTGTGTATTATGTATCCTTTATTATATTCATCATTTATATATAATATGAATATCTCTTTTACATTTCATTAAACTAAGAATACGCTAAAATAATCTGTTTGATACACGAATAAATGTTTTTTTATTTTTTTTTTATTAAAGGTTATGTTCTTATTTATAGTCGTGCAATGGCGTCATTTTCAATTTTTTTCAGGCAGGAAAGGTAGAAAATGAATAATTTACTGTCAAATCGATTATTGATGAGCTTATTGTTTTCCTTGACTGATTTGTCAAGATTATAACACTATCGGATCTCGAGTGTGATTATTTGAATGCGCAAGAATGTTGTTCAAAATTGAATATGGTAATACATTAAAGAGTTAATTATTTTATTACATGTGCATAAAATGCAGTACAAATTATTTAGTCAATCTTTTTTCTGTTACAGGGAGTGTTACCCAAATTAATAGCGCATACATTTTTAGTATTTCTTCTATTGATACATGGACAATTAATATTAACATTGGTAAACATACCAATGACGCTATGGCTGTTTTATGAGTATTTTGGTGTTCCCAGTGGAAATATGGGGGTTTATGATCCTACGGAGATTCATAATCGCAGCCAATTAAAGAGATACACGCGAGATTGTATGATTCATCTTGGATATTGCCTAGTATTCTTTTTCATCTATCTTTATTGGTACGTATTTGCATAAGTATACAAATTATTTATACACAAAGGAATGAAGCTTGAAAGAGAAGATATTTATATTTTCTTCTTTCTTTAGCATGATTGTGGCATTGCTCAAGGGAGATCCCATCAATAGGAATGATGATACTATAGTAGAATTATAAAAAGATTAAGGCACATCATAAATCTTTTTTGTACTCATGTTTGTGCTTTTTTTATATTACAGTGATCTGTCTAAGAATTTTAATTCTACTATATATTTAATACATAGTATACATCACATTCTTTAAAGAATAAGAATATCATTGTAGCAATTCTCTTTTTATCATATTGCTTAGACATCTAAACAATGTGTTGTTCTCGAGTGACTGTTATAGTTTATGGTTCTTATTTATTTCAAGCTAGAAATAGATAACTTCAAAATAAATATTTATTTTTATCTATTCTAATACTTGAATTCCTCTGATTTGAAGGCCTCAAATTGTTGTACGAAGTCTCTAGTGAAATAAATGGGAACTATAGAAATATAAAATAAATACCAAATATATCATTGTATCCAAATGTACTGCTTGCTAATAAGTAACTTACACAAATGTAAGTTTCTAGTCGTAAAAACGTAAGCAGAAGTTTGTATTATAATGGAGATTGTGTTTATAAGGATTACAATATATAGTGGTAATATTTTAATATTACACATTTTATTGTTCAATTCACATGTGATATTTTCGAGGAAACGAGGCTCTATCGCGAAGATATATTCTCCCTTTCGAAGAATTACTGCATTAAACCCATGAAAAAAGTTCACTCTTTCACTTCATCTCACTTCGAGTGCGACAATCATGTTTAAAACGAATATTTTTCAGGAAAGAGAGACAACCCGATTTCTTGATCGCCTCGTATCACGCGGCTCCCCTTTTCGACTATCTCATTTAAATGAATCCTGAGTCACCGATAAGAGATGCTATCGTAGGTATGAGAGAGTAGACGAGAACACGCGACGTCGTCGCCGTCGCCGTCGTTGCTCTATTTCGCGTGTTTGCCGTGTCAAGTTGACTCAAGTTTAACGGCAGTCAAAGAGATTGGATCGATTTAATGGGCGCGGTGAAGGTGATTAGTCTATCCTCCATCTTCGTGGAAGGGCGCGGGCTTATTTTTAGATCGAATTCAATGCACAATCTATAATACAAGTGTACCTATATATGTATGTATGTATGTATGTATGTATGTATGTATGTATGTATGTGTATGCTTGCGCGCGTGAATTTTTATCCCCGAAAAAACGCAGCACCCTCGGTTAGGGAGCGGTGAACCGGATCTCGATCGAGGACCCATTTAATTTTCGCTGTTGCGTCGTCGCGCAAATTACTCGGAACTAATGCAAAATCGATGGCCACGCGGCGGAATCTCTCGGAATTTGCGGAACAGAGAGAGAACCGCAAATCAATCGCCGTGTTTCACGCGCTGGCAATACTGTGAGATAATATCGAGAGGGGGTTGCGCAACCCTTCCTCTTCCTTCCCCAGCGCCGTTAACTCTCGACGCTGTTCGCGCCCTCGTTAACGCTCGATCTGTCTCTCTCCCTCTCCGTACACCGCTCTTTCTATATAGTCGTTCATATCCTTTCTCCGGCGATTGACGCAGTCGCTTTTCACGCGGAAAAGTGACACCGTGACATAATAATCGCGCATTTTCCGAAGCCGAAAGATCAAGTTTTTCGAGAAACGAGTCAGAAAAAGTGAAGGGAAAAATTATTTAACATTTTTTTTTGTAGAAAAAATTTATTCCTACATCTGCAGCATAGGTAAGATTATATAATATATAATTATAATATACATGTATATATATATATATTTTATATACTATATTTCTTATCGCGTATAAATTAAACTGTATAATCTCGCGAGTCAGGGTCGATGAATCAGCGATTTCTATAGACGAGTTCGAGGAAATTTCCTTTCGCTATATCTACAGAAGAAGTTTGCGCGCCAATGTCACGTGGATGCGAGAACTGTCATTGTTCTTCATTTGCGTATCACGGATAATAATACTACATAATCCCCGAAAGAAAAGATAAAGAGTCTACGTATGTGATTGAATAGGACGGGGAAACGAATTCGAAGGAAGGCGCGCGCCTGTCGGCGGCGCCTTCGAGCGCCTTCTGGTGTTGACGGCGCGGTGCGTGCGCTCGCGCTCGGTGTCGGTGCTCGGTGCTTGTCTTCGGCGCGCGGCGTGACACAGAAGTCGCAGAAGGATGCTGGTGTCGACGCTGGTTCGGAGGGAGCGACCAAGCTGGACCAGCAACGACGACGAGCGAGCGAACCAAGGCTGAGAAGAGACGAGACGAGACGAGACGAGACAAGGCGAGAAGAGACGAGAGGCGCGAGTGCTCCAGAGTGCTCCAATTCCTGCGCGCGCGCGCGCACGCGGTTGAGGACACCCGGATACGTGCTCCGGACAATCGGCGTGCTTCTACTTGGGCGGTGAACGAGATGTCTTCGCGGACGACCTTTGCTCTGTCGCGACCCGGTTGAATGTGACTTCGATCGACGAAATCGGATTCGAAGTTTACCTTTATGCTCCTCGTGGACACGTCGAGAGCACGTCCTTAAGAATATATATAACCGCAAAGTGTATCCAGATCGCGACGACGACGACGACGGCGACAGTCGCCTTGGTACCAGCAACGGCGACCGAGATACGGTGATTCAGGAGTTCCTAAATGCTTGAAATTTCGATAAGGCTTATGTCGTCGATGTCGGAGTCGTCGCCGTCGGAGTCGCCGTCGTGGTTGCTGTCATTATCGCCGCCACCGCCGTCGGAGTCGTCGTCGGAGTCGGAGTCGTCGTCGTCGTCGTTATTGTCGTCGTCGTCGTCGTCGTCGTCACCGTCGTCATCGTCATCATCATCATCATTGTTGTTGTCGTCGTTATCGTCATCCTCGTGGTCAATGTCCGCAACGTGCTCCTTGACATCGCTACCGCCGTTCACCACGTCACTTGTCACTTTGCCTTTACGTCTATAAGAGTCAGTGCTGGACAGTGTGGATTTGTGATAACAAGGAGACAGGATGCAGGCGAGCAATAAGAATATCCCTACCATGTATACAAAGCCCGTGGAGGTTTCTCAACAGTTGCAGGAAGGAGAGAAGTTTATCAAGTGGGATGAGGTTTGTGTGTATTTTTAATATTAATAGTTTTAGTATAAGTGGAAAAGGTCACTTTAGGCATAAGAGTATTATCTTCATTTTGCTTGGTAAAACAAAAAAATTGAATTGATCTACGATGACAGCTCTAAAAAAATGAAATGTTATGTCTTAAGTCGTATGTCGTATGTCGTTTCTATCAAAGAAAGAATATTATAATACACTTAAAGAAAACACACATGCATACATATAGAGTCATATGATAAAAATAAATCTTTTGTAACATATAAAATATGCTGTATGTATGTATAACCATAGGATTCTGGAATAGCAACGCCTGTGACTTTAAAAGTGGATAAGTATGGTTTTTACTTACACTGGGTGGATCAAAATAATGAGATGGATATGCTGGACATAGCAGTTATAAGAGATACACGAACAGGAAAATATGCAAAAGTACCAAAGGTATCAATTTCATGTTTGCTTCTTTTAATAAATATTTGACGTAGCATTATCGAGATATACACAAAAGCTACTAGAGTTTATTTGTACATCGATGTCAATAGATATACAAATATGAATAGTAGATGAATAATCAATGATAAATAATCAAAGATGAATAATCAAAGAGTGTCTCTTGGTTTCCCATAATTATAACAATGACGCACAGAGAGCATCATCACATAATAATTATTGACTAATTTATAAATAGAACATTACCTACTTTACATACCATACATAGTTTGCTTTTTTTATCACACTACTATCCGCTTCAATGGTAGATAAAGGCAGTTCCGTATTCATTGAAATAATAGCGCACTTTGTTAGATCAGTTTTCCTATAAATCAATAAGCAACTTTGAATGAACTGACATACTTCTGTATGTTGCATTGTAATGTTTAGCTCATTATATGAAACTTTTTATCTGTATCCATTCATTGCGATATGACAACATTAGAAGGATTATAATTATTTATGGATCTTAAATTTTATATGTCAGAGGATAAGAGAACATTCATATTGTGAATTAAATTAAAAATTCTTTTATAGGATCCAAAATTGAAATCTCTTGTAAATATTGGTTCTCAAGATTCCTTAGAAGACAAAACTCTAACAGTCTGTTACGGCTCTGATTTTGTCAATATGAATTTTATTAATTTTTGCACCATGCGTGCAGAAACAGCACAACATTGGACAGAACAGCTTTTTCAAGTGGCATACAATTTGATTCAATTAAATACTAGCACAACTATGTTTTTACTCAAAGCGCACACCAAATTAATACTTACTGCTGATAAATGTGAAAAAATACCAGTAAAGAAGTGAGTACAATATTGTAATGTAATTTTAATATTATTTATAAGAAAAAAATTATTATTTTTATATTGAAATCTTTTTGTAGTATAATAGAAATGTTTACACAAAACAAAGAACATCGCAAGCGTGTTGAAAAAGCACTCGATATTTCTGGCTTTCCAACTGGCAAAGTGAGTTTTGTTCTCATTATTGTAAATATTATTCTTGAAAGAGGTTTTACTCCAAAATGCATTTTTTATACATATTATTTATGATATATTTTATTTCGTAGAGCGACGTTGTGCCATTGTCAAAATTCCAATTCGAAGATTTCTTCAACTTTTATAAGTCTCTCACTCAGAGATCAGATGTAGAAAAAGTGTTTGAAGAAATAGTTGGCAATAGCAAACGCAAATTGATGTCTGTTTCGCAATTCGTCGACTTTTTGAATAAGACGCAGAGAGATCCACGCCTCAACGAGATACTATATCCATATGCAAATGAAGCGAGGGCAAAGGATATCATAAATCAGTATGAACCCAACAAATGTAATGCAAATAAAGGCCAACTCAGTCTTGATGGATTCCTGAGATATCTCATGAGTGAGGACAATCCGATTGTTGCAATCTCGAAATTTGAATTGTCTGACGATATGGATCAATCGCTTGCGCATTATTTCATAAATTCTAGTCACAATACATACTTAACGGGTATATATGTTATAATCATTTTTAACATGCAACACATTTATTTGATTTTGAATGATTGTAGCAGATATAATTTTCTCTGTCTAGGGCATCAACTCACTGGAAAGAGTTCTGTGGAAATTTATCGTCAGTGTCTTTTAGCCGGTTGTCGATGCGTCGAATTAGATTTTTGGAATGGAAAAGTTGACGAACCTGTTATTGTTCACGGGTATGAATATTGTAATAATTTTCAATATGTATAGAAAAGCATATATAAGTAATTTATAATTTAAAATAATAAAAAATATAAATCTCTTTTTTTTATAGATATACATTTGTACCTGAAATATGTGCTCGAGATGTGATAGAAGCAATTGCTGAGAGTGCTTTTAAAACTTCTGACTATCCGGTCATTCTCAGTTTCGAAAATCATTGTAATCCAAGGCAACAAGCCAAAATCGCACAGTACTGCAGAGAACTTTTCGGGGAAATGTTACTTGAGGCGCCACTCGAATCGCACAAGGTATTTTTAGATATTATGTTTAATGGAGACTTAATAGAATAGGATAATTATAAGAATAATAGGATAATTATAAGCAAAAGAAAATTTTTTTATGATTTATTGTAACGATTAATTCTTTTTTGTTTTTAGTTAGAGCCAGGTCAAGAGCTTCCACCTCCATCGTTATTGAAGCGCAAAATAATAATAAAAAATAAGAAAAAACATCATCATCATCATAAAAAGCATCACAAAAAGCAACCGCAAGCATTAGACACTGCTGAAGATAACCCAGAGAATGAAACAAACGGGACGGTGAATCCATCTGCAGGAGAAAACGGCCCACCACCGGATATAATACCTCAAAATGAAATGGCTGATGATAGCGCATCTGGAAATGAACAACAAATTGGGAATGGCGATATTCCTCATCCTCCTATGTTGCAACAAAGACAGGGTAGTAAAGATAGTGCTCAGGATGATGAAGGTTGGTAATAAAAAAAAGAAACTATAAATAATATATTTATAAGAGATACTTATATTTTTAATGCATTAATTTTTTTTAGATGAGGAAGACGAATCGAGTACAGACGAAGATGAGTCTAACGTGGAACTGAGAATGGGTGACAAAGGATCTGCGGCAGATAAAGCATCCGCGGCCAAAGAGACGGAGGCGGGTGCAGAAATTTCTGCTCTAGTTAATTATGTGCAGCCTGTACACTTCAACAGTTTCGAGTCGGCTGAAAGTACGTGATGTATTTTAACGAGAAGAATTTTTATGCATTCTCTTCGTATATTGCGAAGACGATAAATTTTTATATCACTTGTACAGAAAAAAATCGTACGTACGAAATGTCATCTTTCGACGAGAAACAAGCTACGACTCTTTTGAAGGAGAGACCACTAGAATTTGTAAATTACAACAAACATCAGTTATCCAGAGTTTATCCAGCAGGAACACGATTCGATTCTAGCAATTTCATGCCGCAAGTATTTTGGAACGCGGGATGTCAGCTAGTTGCATTAAATTATCAAACACTCGGTACGTAAAATTTTATTTAGTGTATTATTCGACGTTATCATTTTACTTTTATCGTTAATGAATTTGATTAATTTGATTGATAACAGATCTAGCGATGCAATTAAATTTGGGGATATTTGAATACAATCAACGTTGTGGTTATCTATTGAAACCGGAATTTATGAGAAGGAAAGATCGACGATTAGATCCTTTTGCTGAATCTACCGTTGATGGTATTATTGCGGGCACCGTTCACATTCACGTAATATCCGCGCAATTTTTAACCGACAAAAGAGTAGGCACTTATGTAGAAGTGGATATGTATGGTTTACCAGCTGATACCGTAAGAAAGAAATTCCGCACAAAAATCGTGCCGAATAACGGTATTAATCCCATATATGATGAGGAACCATTCGTATTTAAAAAGGTAAAATTATATTATTTATACATTGTCTTGTTACACAGCTTCTATAATAATGTATTGCTTTTGCATTTCTCAGGTAGTTTTACCGGAACTTGCTTCGATAAGGATTGCCGCATATGAAGATTCTGGACGTTTCATCGGTCACAGGGTATTACCTGTAGTTGGATTATGCCCAGGATACAGACACGTTGCACTAAGAAACGAGTGTGGGCAACCGCTACCATTAGCGAGTGTGTTTTTACACGTTATCGTAAAGGATTACGTGCCTGATGGTTTGAGCGAGCTTGCCGAAGCTTTAGCGAATCCTATCAAATATCAGAGCGAAGTGGAGAAAAGAGAAAATCAATTGTTGGTTCTTACGGATTGTTTGGAGGCTCCGGATGAAATTGAAGTAAGATTAAAAATGGTGCTACTGTTTCCCTTTTCTTCTCTTTTTCTCTTCTCTAACAATTAATAATTCAAATTTATTTTCAAGTTTACTAATAACACTACTAACATATTTTATAGGATAAGAGTAAAGTTGGCGATGCTCCTACTTCTGCTAAGCCAGCTGTAAGTTTTCTGTATGATTCAATTATCCTGTAATATGTTACTGACAGTGTTATTTTTGCAGGAGGAAGTTGTAAAAGCTAAACGAATGCAGTCCATAGGTGAAATGCCAAGTCTTGTACCTCCTTCCAGTAGTTTACATAGTAGACCATCTATTGGTGGCTTGGGTAGCTCGGACACGGTGGATGTAGAAGACGATATTCCGAGTCCTGCAATTCAAGCAGTTGATACATCTGTAAATAAAAGTCCAGTCAATCAGTCTAGCAATAGTGAGTATTTTTGTTTTTTTTTTTAATTATTCTGATTATAAGTATATTTATTTCTTATGCTATATTTTGACAACTTCTTTCTGTTATAGTAAGTGACGAAATAGTGGCTGAAAGTTGGGAAAAACTCATGGAAAATAAGCTAGTCAGGGAGAAGAAGATGGAACTCGAAAAGAAACTTGAATCTCTGCGGAAGAAGCACGAGAAAGAAAAAGTGCGAATGCAGTCGCAAAAAGGCTCGCTCGACGGCGAGAAACATAGATCGAAATTCTACAGCAATAGACTGGTGAAGCGACTATCGAGCAAAAATATGTAAGTATAGAAGCAAGCTAACATTAATTTTGAATTGTATAATTTTTAATTGTATTCTTATTATTATAGGAGTTTTTCGAGCGAAGTGGGTTTAAGCACCTTAGCCATGCCTGAGTCTTCCGAATACCCAGAGAACCCGGAGAATCGCGAGGGAAATGACGGGACATCCAGAGGTATACCTAGGAGTCAAAGCGAACGATTTTTAGCCATATGTAAAGTGCACGTTCAACAAGAACGTGAACTTCAGGAAAAATATTATGACAGTCTCTTTACGACCGTCGAAAAAGTGATGAGAGCATCGCAAGCCAATCAATTGAAAATGCTCCAAGTGCTTTTAGACAGAGAAACCGCCGATGTTAAACGAAAACTGCAAGCTACAAGACAGGGCGAGGTATTTTTAGCTACTATATTTTTTCTTTGCGCGACGAAATACATATATAAAATAATGAAAATTAATTACATATCTTTTATCGTGTTTAAGGTCAAACAATTGGCCAAGGTACATAAAGATAAAGCCGAGCTGGAGCGCATAAAACGAGAAGTTGCAAAATCGACTGTAGAGAAAGCTGTAAATGAATGCACGCGGTTAACGAAAATTTTCGACAAGAAGAGAACAGAGTTAGAAAGACAACATGAAGAAGTACGTCAAAGGTTGGAAGATGAGCGAGCCAAGGTATGCATCCTAAATTGTAATAAATATTTTTACTCGTATGATATCATGAAATATTTTCTATTTTAATGCAATAGGTAAAAGCTAATTTGCTAGCAGAATATAGTAGCCGCTACAGTAAATATGAGAGTGGTGAGTTACCCTTGTCACCATCTGGCGGAGCTAGCTTACCCGAGTCACTTAGCGAGAATATGTATTGACTTGCGAAACGGGTCTAATTATGTGTTGACTAAAGGTGTGACATCGGTTCACGATGTTTTACGCCATTATACGCGTCGTTTAAAGCATCCAGTTATGCAACTTGGTATATCGAACACGCGGCTTGTAACAAGAGATATGTGGGAGAAAGAAAACGGATATTGTACTTGAATGCAATATTTCTCCGATGTTTGTATAAGGAAATGAACCAATAACGAGTAAGGAAATGTTGGTATACAGTGTATATCTACAGCTGTTTATGGTGATGATTCTTGCCATCAATTATTGAAGATATCGATATGGTGACGTTGATGCTGTATCAAGAAATCGCGTGATTTGGAGCAGTTCGGTGCTATACAATGCACGACAAGTAATTACTATATATACGATGCAATTGTGTATGTACACACACATACATACTGAACTTTTACCGTTTAATACTTCAAAGAGATTAGATGTCGAATAATGGATTGAGGTAATTTTCTATTACTTCAATGCTGTGTCTTTTACTACAATAATCATTATTCGATTGACGCGTTGATATCATACATGTTGATCAATTCTTTAATTGATCGTGTCTGTTTAGGTATGTGGAAAAAACGCTATGTCATGATCTCTTTACGATAAAACATCTGCTTATAGTAATACGAAAGAGAAAGAGACAATGTTAAACTTCAATATACGTGATGAATTTCGCATTATTTGCACACAGTATTAAGCAGAGAGATTCCGGAATCTAAAACGATCGCTGACGTAATACAGCCGATTACGTATTCGTATGATCTTAAGGAGCATTAAGATCGCGACAAATACGCGTGCAAGAAATTATATATATATATATATATATATAAAATTTCAAATAAGAAAAAAGAATATACAACCTTCCTAAGTGCTAACATTTAATATTGTTGTTATATGCATAAGTCATCGTTATTTAATCAACTACATATAAACTAAGTCTAATCGCGTTCCAAGATGCTCCGTTTAGATTGATCTTCGACTATTAAGAAGTCAGATCTCAGGAGATTCCAGTCAGAATAACGTAAGAGAACATATACAACCGAGAGGGTGAAATCTCTTTGGCCTAGAAAAGAAAAATTCGACAAATTGCACGAACGCGCGAGTGATCTGATATATTTTTGACTGAAAGTACTCCATATATAAAGTAACTTTTTTTTTAGGGGAGGATTTGCCCATACTATGACAAAAATCGTGATATTTTCCCTGCCGAAGGCACGGGAATCTTTTAATATCTCATTACAGTAGGATCCGGATAATTCTTATTTTTTTATATATACGTAGATATATACATATTATCAAACTAATGTATTATAATCATAAGCCCAGTGCTAGTTATGTATATTTATTTCTCAAAAAAGAGAAAGAAAGAGATAATATTATTATTTTCTTTTGTTTATAGAATCGAATTCATAATTTCTATAGAAAATGCATAGTTTTGCACATTGCGTTTTTGTGAGTGCTTCCAACTTGAAGAGTCATCTCGCACATATATATTTATATTTATATTATATATATAAATGATTATATTATATATTTAATTATATATAATATAATATATATATATAAAATTATATATTTAATTATATATAATATATAATAATATATATAAAATTATATATTTAATTATATATAATATATAAATTATATAAATTATATTATTTTTATTTAAATGATTTTCTGTGGAATTATGGGAGATCACGTGACGATCACGTGACGTGCGCGCGCAGCCGCACTATAATCGTGTTTGACCGTTCGCGCAAGTACATATGGCGATTGTTGAATAGTTCGGCGCGTAAATACTTTTCTTTTTCACGAGTTTTCCGCTTTTGCATTATTGCTGGAGTGCTACTAGCCGGATTCTACTGTATGCGGATCAATCTTCGTATCACGAGCAGTCCGGTCGGGCAGACCTCTTTGAGGAAGACAATCAAAAATGTTACGAGGTAACATTTGTCCTTGTTGTTTCTAATTGTAATGATATTTTAGGCTACGCGCTACGATACATGTACACAGGTATCTATATGAGGGAGAATTCTCCGTTAATTATAACGAATTTAGGATTAAAATCTATCTAAGTAAGTCTGCATCATGTAAAATCAGTTAATTGTTTAACAGGTATTGATTTAATGAGAAGACAGAGGTACGCGGGATGTATCGTAATTATTAGGCGGTAAATAGTAACGCGTGAATATAATTGATGATCTGAATCAAAGATGTCTGATATTTTATGTAATATTATAATGTTATATTTACTTAAGTAATCTACTTATGTACGGTCACATACTCCGTCGTAGTAATTTGTTATTTATATTCTTATTCGAACGATTGCATCCTTTGTTTTAAATTTTCATGAGATTAACTATTGTTAAATATTTGGCAAACCAGACAAAATTATTATTAATGCTCTATTTGCACAAGTATACTGCACAAGTGATCTCGTGGCATTTAGTATTACCGAAATTTAGCTGCTTTTCTTTACGTATTACAATTCGATTTAAGTACATCTTTTTATTGTATGTACTTATATACATTGAAAGAATTTTGCTTTCTTTGAATGAATAGAAATTATAATTACTTGTATAATTTGAATGCAAATCTTGACATGGATTTTGATATTATATTTTATATTATATAATATTGAAATCTGTGAGCTTCGTAGAGCACATCGATTTATAAGAGAGTATATCGTTTATTTCAATTATACATATATATAAATTATTATGTTATTATATGTTAATTTTTTGTATTATTTTATAATTTTATCAAACTCATAATTTTTATCTTAATGATTCTAATTATTTTAAATTGTATTTAAATAATGAAAAAGTATAATGCTTTTATAAATTTAATCGAAATTTTTTATATTTATTTTATATAAAAATTTATATAAAGATTTTATTATTATATACATTTTATTTTATACCATTGAGTGTAATCACATGTACAAAAATCTAAGTGTTGTATATACGATAGAATCTCAAATTTATTATTATTCTGTTATACAATCGTGTGCTGTCCTTGCATATTGTTTTTTGCAAATATTATGGAAAACGAGAAAATAAGTCGAAAGAACCGTTTGCGATTATGAGTCTTAACAAGCAGGGAAAAGCAATTAAAGCATATGCATTTATTATTGCAGATGATAGTGCGCATTCTGTAAACTTAAAAAGAATTATGGATCTTGAAGTTATATCCCGTGCACCTCCTTCTGATGTAATGATATTTGGTTTGCTGTAGATGTAAAAGATATGGCATTTGGTTTTCACTTTAAATAGTCGTAATAATATCGCGTTTTTTGAAAGAGTAGTTGATATATATGTATATATATTTCCGATAAATTTAGAGATTCTCATAAACACATAAATACACACATATACATATACGCGCGCGCGCGGGGAACCAGAGAGAACGCAGAGTTACCGTTTCTTAGTCGATGCCAATTAATCGAGATAGCATTTCTTCCGCAAACGAAGTTTACCAATCGTTCGCGAAGTTGTAGAATGTTCCGTGGCGGACGCGACTGATTTTATCCGGGCACGGGGGTTGACGATAGAGATAATCCGTATACCATAATAATACAGGCGATATTTAAGGCAACGTATGTGTAATTTCTCTATCCAGTATGCCTGGAACCTGTGTGAGGAAATCGATAGCGTCCTCCGTATACCGCGTTAATTGTATGCGTGCGTATAAGTGTCGATGTTTTTGCGAGATTGGGCAGATTTCTGCGCCAAGTATGCATCCTTCGCGATATCAAAAAGGTGACAATAGAGGGAATTTTGATTAAACCACATATACATAAATTCTATTTGGTATGCTAGATTTCTATCTAGTTTACTAATGATACGATCTTTTCTTGCATATAATAATATTTATTTCGAGTTTTCTTTCGAATATATTAGTTTATTATACACTTTATTATAGAAATCCTTCGTTTTTCTTCGAAGGAAAGCACCTATTTTTTAATTTCACACGTTTACTTTGCGAATGCCCCACGCGTTTTACGTCTTGCCATATTAATAGGAAATCTTGATTTCTATTAATTCTCTCATATCAAAGTTCATTAACTTTTTGAATTCATTTTGATTAAGCTATAATTGATTGAAAGGTAGGCATAAGAAATAATTGGAATATAAGCAATTAGAGAGTGAGCAGGTAGAATGTCAATGGTATTTTCAATTATAAAATTTGTTTTAACTTCCTTATGTTCCCTAATAGTATTTATTCGAATTTCCTCATGAGCTTTATTATCTCCGTTATCTAATTGAGGAAATGGAAGTTGATTTGTTTGCTGTTAGCCTGATATGCAGCAAATCTGAATATTACAGGTGATTACAAAACTCACTTTTTTCTCTCTTACTATTTTCTTTCAAATTATTCCAATTTTGTGTTCATTCTTTTTTAAATTATGTACAATTATTTCTCATTGTATCCAATTATTGTGTCCAATTCCTCAATTACCATCGTTTCACGGATAGTGTGATCTACCAGTGCATTTATATCCTTCACTTAGATCAGATTGCAAGTTTATTGTGTGTATTTTGTCAGAGATCTTTTTCTGCATATTATATATACGGATGAATATCGCATACTTGCTTGGAATATGTGATCGACATCATGTTCTCTTCCTACATTCGTGTAACGTACATATATACACGCGTATGTATGTTACACACGACACACGCGTGTGTACATAAGTATATAGATTTACGCTAACGGGACATAGTTATTATATTCATGTTGATATATTATGTGTTGTTGCTGTTGATGTTGTTAATCGTAGGATATAGTCATAAAGATGAAAAATAGTAGCGCTAGCATAATCGTTGTTAATATAGCAATTACAGGGAGGGGAGGGGGGGAGGGAGAAGGAAAGAAGGAAAAGAGAAAAAAACACACGAGTTCTCCACGTTAATTACGACGAACACGTTCGCGCGCGGATAGTTATATAATTGCGCATCATCGATTTAACTTCGGATGTGTGCGTCGCAATATTAGCAATTTGTACCTGCGATGTTATATCTGTCTTGATCACTCTGGCGTTGACTAATATGATTCTATTAGACGTTGCTTTGAACGAAGGATTCCCAATTCGCAGATTACTTTTAGCGTCAGTCCTTTAGATATTCCACGTGTAAGGCTTCGCGCTAATAAGGTGATTGAGTCTAACGACAAGTATTTCCGGAGGTGCTACTCAAGCTACTCGAGGTTTGCCAAATAGATATTTATAGAAGACGTTCAGCATCGAAGATCTCTGTAACGGACGTGTTTGTCGTTTTAGAGTAAACGTGCGAAGACGCGTAGGCGTATTATATTAATATATAAGATATGTGTAGTTTGAAACGGCCTACAAACGATCGTAGTGATTTGGCTCAGCTATATATTGTTTTGTTGTTTCGAAAGTATCGCACTCATCGCGCTTGTCGAGGTTCAAACATTGGAGCGTCTAAACGTCCGCCGCTATTACACAATTCTTATCGGAAGTAAGCATAATGTTACCCGCAACAAGCTTATCTAAGGATTTTTTGCTATTTATCTCGATATATATATATATATATATATATCTCGATTTATCTCGATATATATATATACATACATACATACATACATACATACATCTCGTCCATCCTTCGAGTTTACTGTAATGAGGATCTCCTAACAACGATTCTTCGTACCTGAACGTACTGTTGTCCTCAACCTTGCGTCCTCTCTTCTGATCCTCTCGATAATCTCTTCTTTTTAGCGCTCGCGAGAGCTTTTAAGTATTTTGAAAGAAATGGCGGTCGATTAGACTGCACCGATATTATGTAGATATTAGAATTGTATTGCTGCTCAGCCGTGTGTTTTTGAATTGTCTATATCAGTTTTAGCAGCAAATTCTCAATCGACAATGAAATAGCGTAATTCGATGTACATAAGATGCAACGATGATATTCTTGTGGATCTATAAAGCTTTGCATTGTTGATGTCTGAGTTGGACAACTTTTTATTCCGAGTATAATAACTTTGCCTTAGGACAGACTGTACAGTGGCAGTCGGTAGAGCATCTTGATTTTCTTTGCACAAAATGCTAATGTTAAAACGCACTTGAGTACAGCGCGAATCTTAATAATTCCGTATCCGCTTCGTGATCGAGAGTTCGATTATCGAGATTGTAATGTAGCTATGTTGTAGAGATTTTGCGTCGTAGATGATTTATTCGCTAGGTGTGTGTCTATACGACTATTCGTAATAACAAAAAAAGGAGAAAAATACGTCAAGAAGGGGAGAAAAAAAGATAGCGCGCGAGGAGGAAGAAAACAAACTCATCGAGATGATTGTAATTATAGTAACGATCGATACCGGAAATGTACAAATGCTTGACGGTATTGTACGTGTAGTAGAAAACGTATATGCAGATTTATACGTTATCTACTTTATGTATCGAGAATATATAGTCTCATCCCGTGCAAATAATTTTGTCTTCCCTCTTAGCATACTTGCAGTAACTCGATTTTACCGCGGGAATTCCATTATTCTTAGCATATTGTCGTCTCGATGATTGTACTGTCCGATCATCTCATCTACATACGTTGACTTATCTTTGTAATGCATCACGCACAACGTGACAGATCTGATTTATATATATCTCGGTTATATACATCTGTGTCATTCGCATTCTTTAATCGGCGATTAGGTTCATTTGTCGTCGGTCGCGTACTTCTATTTTGTAAGCGACGAGAGATTATAATAATTTGTTGTGTTCATATTATTTTCTTTTTTCCCCTGTGATTCTCCATTCCCATGTTTCCGTTTAATGATAATCAGGAGTTATGTCAAATTTAAGTCAGGAATATTAATCAGTATTATATATTTATGAGAAGTTTCTCTACACACGATTGTTTCTATATATAATTATTAATAAGAAATATTAAATTTTATGAATAATGAATCGAGACAATATTGAATTAGATATTATAATTAACAATATTTGTTAATTGATTCTTAACATATATATCTATATATAAATTACTAACTTTGACTGCTTGCTGATTATTATCTTATTATCTATCTGCCAATTATTATCTGATTATTATTTATCTTATGCCAATATCTGTTTTTATGATAAATTGACTTAGTTTGTAATTTTTAGTCGCTATGCGTGATGTGTTTATCAATTAATATTTGCATTCATTTCTACTAAATTCAATGACAAACTCTGGCAATGAAAGTATGTAGACAGCAGTTTTTAATGTGTAATTAACGGTATGGTACACGCTGTTCGCGTTCTATTGCTCTTAAAACGTAAAAGAAAATTATAGTAAGTGTGGCTTTCTCGAACCACTATATTATGCATAACGCATATTTCGGTATATCGGTTGTATCGGACGGAAGAAAAATAAAAACGCTATCGAAACTTAAGATATACCCACGTAATTTCGGCTATGCGTTTGTCACGCAACGATTTTTTCGACGCGTGATATTAATTGGCCGAAGCATCGGTGAGATGAAGCTCTGTGTAGTATAGTTTAGATTTTGGACAGAAATCTCATTTCTGCGAGTACTTTTGAGAGTTTACGGATCATGAAACTAGAATTTTTATTCTATATTACGAATTTCTCGTTTTAGTAAAAAAAAAAAGATTTTTTTATCGAATTTAAAATCTTTATTTTGCAAATCTTAATTCGATTTCTTTCGATGAGCGGCTAAATCTTACGTAGCTCGTTTCTTATAAAATCTGTATTTTTTTCTTCGCAAATCTAGCGTTTCGTGGATTAAAATTTTTTAAAGTCTTGAGTCTCGTTTTTACAATGTTTGGAATTCGTAACAAACGAAATATATACATAGATACAATCTAACGATATCCTCATATTTTACTTTTTTCATGTTGTGTCTTCGCTCGTTTTTCAAATTATTCCTTTCAGCAGAGATCTATTCTATTTCATACCGAGTATATATTCGATGTTTTTATTTTGAAAAATGAATTATTAATCGTTACGAGATAAATGTGGACGAAAAAATGCGAGGGTATCAGTAGAAATGAGATGTTTGTCTCGCTATTAGCAATAGTTGTCGATTAAACACGTCGACGATGTCTGATTATATAATACAATATATATGTATGTATATTTCGCAATGTCCCGATCTTAATCGCAACGTAAAAAGAATAAGGTAACGAAAAACGATTAAGACACAAGATATTAATTTGATCCAAAATAATTTCTCCTCTGATTCACTTGTGCCTTGCCTTTGATCATCCTTCGCTGTTCTGTATATCCAGGTATAATCTCTCTTTTCTAAATAATCGTCTTCGATGTTCGATGTCCTTTTTACGATAAGAAACCTATTAAGTATTAGAGCGATATAACTAAGAAACGTTACTTACTCCATTTGCCCTAATGGTTACTAGTTCGTAATCTATTCATAAATGTACACCGAATAATCTTACGATTTAAACATCCTTTAAGACATCCAGAATGATTACAAAGGCATTCGGATTACGGACGCTGGCAAACCCTGCTCTCGAAAATATATTTAGAGCATCTAAATGATGTAAGATAAATGCATTTTAAATTTTATAATATCTCGGTGTATTACAATTCTCGTTCTGTAACCTAAAAGCAAGACGAATTAGCCTAATTTTCATTTCCACAACAAGATTTTCTTCTGTAAAATTTTAATTTCGGTAATCAGATCAGCGAGATTTCAGAGCAGATTGACACTCATCGGATCCGATGCTTTACGACCTTCGCAATTATTATAAAAGAACGCTGCTCGATTAGAATTTAATATGTTCTATTTACTAACTAACAACAATCATTAGACGAATTACGGAAAGCTGCTGTGGTAGATATTGTTTGTCATACAGAAAATAGGCAGATATTTCGTTTTGAGATGATTAGACTATATATTAATTACATCCACACACAAAATCATAATATGGAGAATAGAATATGTTATATGCGACGAGTATTCAAAATATATTTTGCGTTACGATTAGTTGTGACGTAGTTACTCGTGTGTGAATTTGAATATTAAGATTTCGATACCGATATACAGTAAACATATATTTCAATTGAAACTTATCTGTGCCACACTAGCTCGACATATAGAGAAATTATTTTTTGAACTTGATTTTACGCAGCGATTTTGATAAATTATGCGGATGTCACAAAGGAAAAGGTCACGCATCACGTGTGGACAATGGTACAATGGACAAATGTACAATGGTAGTTTTTGGTCCGCTTCCATCTCGACAAGTCTCGCTGTCGCTTGGAGGAAGTGCGCCGACTTTCGCTTCTGGCTCGATTTCCGGTTTTTTTTACCGTGAAATGAATAGTAATTGCAGAAGAAAATTAATTAATTATCGCGATGCTTCATATAATCGGGCAGAATGAAAGATCGATGCTCGCTTGTACGTTTGTATAATCTTTTCGCAGTCGCAAAGTTAGTTGTACTTTCTCAAAAGCGAACATTGGATATTAAATATGATCGATGAGACGTAATTTCAAGATTATTTATAAACCTGGATGTATTTTTTAGAAAACACACAGTTAGAGACATATTGTTACTTGCTATACAAATATCAATACCATTTAATGCCCACTTATATCCGATAAATGATCCATAAGTTATAATAACGATATTCTATAAATGGCTGTACTATTGTAAAATCAAAGATATAGCGTATAATAAAGTTTAGTGTTGTAGGAGAGGATGATGTTGAAGGTGGCTGGATATTCTTTCTTCCTTTAATCATGTTCGGAACGAGGAGTGTTTGTTGAAAAAGTAACATTCTATTTAGAAGATGAATAAACTAAAACTTTATTTATTCATTTTACAATAATGAATAAGTAATATTAAAATATTAATATTCTTATTCAAAAAAACGTGTCCACATATATAATAGTATTTCTTATCCAAATATCCACAATATATATATTATATATATAGTTATATATATATATATTATTATATAGTTATATATAGTTTATTAATATATAACTATATAATATTATATATTTTATTCACAATATTTATTAAATAAAAGATGTTAATATATTAGCAAATGTATTAGTAAAATGTTTGATATATATATATTAAACATCAGATTAATTCTGTTAATTTTATCGTTAATTATTTAAAAATATATTTCGCTCTTTACGGCTTAGATGTCGATGGTTTTGATACATATGCTACTAAAAGATGATATTTCAATATGATATTATCATCTTTGTTATTTTTGTCTTTAAGCGGCGTATGAACATTCAGATTTAATATTTCATTTATGAGTTGCTCTAAAAAATCATCTTTGCTTTTATCATCTGGAAATCTCTTGAGGAAAGGATTTACGGCGCTTGCTTGATCTGTAAAAACACATGAATAGCACATGTATAGCACATGAAAAAAGTTTTAAGAAAACTAAAACAAAGAAATAATGACTCTCGTTTTGGAGCAAACGCATAAAATATTAATTAAATAATAATTGTCTAATTTTTATCCTTATATTATCCTAGCAAAAAAAAATAGCAAATTAAAAATTATGTAATATCTTACTTTTAAGGCTCTCTCTATTACTATATTGAAAACTTTTCTCTCTTTTGCTGCAATGTAAAATTTTGAAGCCAATGTTTTCCAAAATCTTTTGTAGACTCGCTTTCATATTTTTGGCACATTTTCTCTGAAAGTAAGGCACATAACGATGCGCATCCTAATAAAGATAAAAACATTTTAGCATGCTCCATATCGCGTATTATATGTACATTATGTTATTTTAAAACATACGTAAAGATAAGGCTGGAACTGCGGATGTTCTTGAAGACGAGTGTAAGCTTCGAATCCAAAGTGATGAGCTAAAAACATGATTAGTGCTTTTCCTTCCGGTCGCAGAAGCTTGTAAATGTTTTGGAAGGCTTTGCTATATAAAACAATGATATAAAAATGAACAAAACTCCGATCAACACTCAAACAATCAAAAGTATAAAAAGAGCAATAACAGCCAGTTTTTATATATAACATAACGAATTGGAAAACAGCTGTATACGTTTTTGCTATATAAGTTTATACTTTATTATAGAAGATTTGCACAAGAAATCGTATGAGATTAATATTTATTAAATGTTAATATCGCTATAATGCGATTATCTTCAATTATGTGATTTTCTTCTATGATAGAAGAGTTAACAGTCCGCAAAAAATTGTTATATTGAGTAAAAAAATATCGCATATATAAAAATATACCATATATCATAGGTCCAATGCATCGTATAAAACGATATGATATTGTCATATTGCTCGATTTGATCACTTGGCAGATCCGATTCTATATCCAGAACGATATATGATAATCTTTCACCAGAATAAAAGGTTCGTGCATAATTGATCATTTTATGCGATATATCAGCACCTTATAATGAATATTTTTTGTTAAAATTTTTTAAAAATTATTAAATGTTGCGTATTATGTCAAATTTTTATTCACACCTACCTACTATTTCCGATTCGTTTGGTAATACACGACTTAAAATTTCTTTGGTAATATAGCCTGGCCCGCAACCGATATCTAGGCACTTGCCTTTCATTTTTGACATTTCGGCACTAAACTCGTCAATTAGTTCGCTGGTATCGCGATTTTGCATGTTGCTTGAAGCAAGATAATCCTCAGCAAGTTCCATGATGTATCGCTGATATAATAATATATATATTGGCCTAGTTTACACCGATTATTTGATACACATATCAAACGCGTTACTGAAAAAACACAGCCATTCTTCTAAAGAATAGAATGACTATGGTTGGTCAGTAGTACTTAATACGTATCAAAGTATATCAGTGTAAACTAGGTCATTATTATATATTTTAATGATTCTATATTGTATTCTATTCTATTGATTCTATTGTATTCTATTCTATTGATTCTATTGTATTCTATTAATTCTATTCTATTGTGCTGATCGATGTGCGAAATATTTGTCTGTTTACACATATAAGTAAAACACAAATAAATAAAAAAAATAATTTATGAAAAAAAAAGAAAAAACAATATATTCTTTTTCGACTAATATAATTTGCGATTTTTATTTCAGTGCCTTCACTTCCGCAAAATCTCAATCGAGGATGCAAATGCGTTTGGTCTTACAACAAAAACAGCCGTCAGAGGGTCCTTCTCAGGAGTAGCAAGGTAGGGTACAGTTCACGATACTGGTTCCACTTCTCTACTACTGGCTTTTTAACTTCGTCTTTGGTATTTATATTCGGCGACTCGTATAAACATCGCTTGCTCTTCCGCTCGTTCTCTCATTTTATTCTTGTCTCCCTACCAAGCTATCCTATGTTCTATTCTTTGTTACCTATTCTATCTGCCTATTTTCATATCCGAATTCGTTTTTAGCCTATCGCCCTGTAGCACTGTAATCATATTAAGCGGAAGTTCACTGACCTGCTCCGATTGTTGCACTTTATTTATTATACTACGACATCACTATCAATCTTTTAAGTATCATCATATTTAGTAAGATTAGTAAATTAATAACAGAATGGAGAGTTACAAAAATATATAAACCATATAAGCCTTCTTAATAATAGATATTTATTACAATTAGTATATAGAGGAATGTGCAATACACATGGCAACACGAATATAGACAAGATGTAGTCATGTATACTTTGAGGGATGTGGAATTTAAAATAGAAGAAAAGACATGCTAGCTAATCCATCATATTTACAGCAACTTCAAAGTTATTCTTGATACAAAATCCAACTTCTTCCTGCAAATTTTATTAACAATATTAATTTTATTAAAATATTTTTGTTTTTTTCCCCATTAGTCTATATAATAATTATTGATGCTAAATTGAAATACTAAAAAGATTCTTTTTCGTACAAATAATTTTACTCTTTTTTTTTTATTCTTCGTTCATTTTATATTTTTTATTACATCGTTTGTGCTAATTAACGTTTGTGCTTTTAACAAAGTCAGAAGTGCGGCGCAAGTTTAAATTCGATACAAAGAGAAAAAGAGAGAGAAAGAGAGAGTACAAGTTACCAGGAAAATACATAAAATGAATTTTACCGTAACCTTACTCGGGCAAAAGGGCTTATCGTTAATAATCCGTAATTCGATCGACTGCGAAAGTCCTCTCTGGATCACTAGCCGAAACGTTTCGCCTTGAACCAGTCTTATCTTACGGTCTTGAACCAGTCTTATCTTTCGGTCGCATGTATTTACTTTTTGGACATCGCCGTATTTGCATATGCGCGGGCACACTCCATACACGCCCGCTAATATACAAGGTGTTTTCCTGATCAAACACCCGTATTTCTCGGCAGGGGATGCTTCGTTTTTTATCTTGCTGAATAGCCCTTAAATCTTGCCTGAAATGCGCTTATTCGCATACCAACGGGTTTTATGTGGTCTCGCATATCAGAGAGAATCCCCTTCGACCTATATATCTATATTTATCTCATCGCACAGAAATCTCGACTAATTCTGTCGATTGGTCAACGACCATCCGATTTGCCTTGAAAAAAAAAAACAAAAAAACAATCGACTTTAATTATACAACTTTAATTATTAAATTAATTTTTTATTATTTATGTACATGTCGAAACGCGCTATTTTTCTATGACGTGCGCCTGACGAATTTGCTCGAGCGATTGACGGCAATAAAATACGACTGTGTAACGTTCGAGTCTCGTTACGTTGTATATTCCGCTACCTTCAGCTACCGTAAATCAGTTTGGCGACGCGTCTGTATAGAAAATATTTATGAAACTCGGCGGGTTGACCCGCTCCCTCCTCTGACGTCGTTGTCTCTCTTTTCTCTCGCACCGTTTATCTCCATTTTCTCTGCGCTCTGCGCGAGGTAATGCAATATGCACTCGCGTCTCTTTCAAAGGAGATGACAAAAGGTCGTAGCGCACGCATCACCACTACCACCCGGAGTTTATAGAAGCTCGCGTAAGGAAGCAGAGAGGGAGATATGTAAAGATGCGTCATCGGTCCAGTCAGAAACAACAGTTCGCCGTCACGTTGCATCATTTTTGTCACGCTCGATCAGATTACTTTTTACTCACACATCGAAGCTCTTGTTATGAATTTTTAACGCCGGCCAGAGTTCACGGTAGTGCTCGCTTCTTTATATTAGATAATAGAAATTACGCGTCGCGTTCTTTCCTTACCGCGAATCTCGTTTTCGAGTCGCTATATAAAGTCTATAGAATACAACCGTTGTAAAAGGGAAAAAAAATAAAAAATAAAATAAAATAGAATAGAGAATACGCGAAGGGATGAAATGGCCCAGTTAACGGTCGCGACTTTATTATACATCCGCGAGTATATATATATATATATATATAGAAACTTTACGAGAGCGCGACGTCGTGTTACAGATTTCTCGTCGAAATCTTTATCTCGCGAGATTTTACGACGGCGGCATACGTAAGAGTTCCCCGGAAATAGGAAGATGCTATGGATTTATTGGCCAGGTGTGAGTTGTAGGTCGTCGTGGAGGTGGTGGAGGATTTACGTAGCGCCGGTCTCTCTCCTCCGTTCGCGCTAAAACCACAAGCATCCTCGATACTCGATCGAGCTCTTGCGAAAGGGAACGCCGCGGAGGACAGGGCGGAAGTGACGGCTCTTCTCGAGGGGTAGTAGTGGAGGGGAGGGGGTAGGGGAGATTGCGTGCGAGGACGCGGCCGAGGAAAAATTGGCCGCGTTTAACGTTCGAAACTGCGAGCTGTTGAATTTTTCCGGGATCAATGCCTCGGCCTTAATTACCACGTTCGCGGCTTTACGATTTTTCGTATACTTTTCGATCGACGTTCGTCCGTATTTGTTTACCTGCGTGTATTCGTCAGAGCCGGAAGATTTCCGTACGGGCGGAAGAAAGATGGACGGTGAAGAAAAGTGCTTTCCTCCGCGAGAGTTGGTACAATTATAAACGCTAGGGGTGAAAGTGCGAAAGGATCGGGGATCCTTTGGCGTCTCGATCCGGTACTGCCGGATGTCCGAGGAAGGGTAAATATCCCTTCTTCCTGCCCTCTCCTTTTCCACCTCTCTAGTAGAGACTATAGAGAGTCTCTTTGCCTAAATCCTTCGGTCGGATCCACGTGTATCGGGTGGATGGGTGCCGAGAACGAAGGGCTTTGATAAATGACTGACGCGGAAAAAAATCCGCGTCGATACGTCTTGCTCAAGGAGATGCGCGTGCGAGAGAAAAAGGGAGAACCGTAAAGAAAGACGGGGCGAAAGGAGGAAAAAGGGAGGGAGAGGGACAGATGAAGGGCGAGAAAAAGCCGTTGGTTCTTTCCCGCGGTCCACCGAGATGCGGTTATCCTATATATCCCGCATGCGAGATCTGCATTCCCTCCTCGCCACACACGCTCGTTTATTCAAACCAGTCGAACAACGCGCTGCTTTCGCAGATCGATCCGCGTATAAATGTTGCCGCGAGAGTATCGGGAGATTTTACGCTTCCGAAAATTCATTAATCTCCCGTCGCGCGCGCGCGCGCGGTGTCGAGTTTAATCGTGGCAATTTAAGTTTCTCCGCGCATACCGTGAATACAAACGACGTGTATATTTTCGTCGAGGGAAAGAGTCGCGGTTTTCGACAAATCACATAACGCGGAGGGGTTTTCGCAACTTTCATATTTTAATTATCAAGATATATCTAATTTCCCTTAAAAAAAACGATACTGCGACTTTTAATTAGCTTGTTTTTTTTTTGGTGTATCCATCGCGTAGATACTTTTCTTTCTCAATCAGATGACGTGTGGTTTAGAGAAATCTCGACACGCTCTGTACATGTGGATATATTCTGGAACGATGGTCCTTTCGCGGATGCGTGCTTTATCGGAAAACACTGAGTGAGATATATGGAGAGATTATGCGAGATGGCGTTTCGGAGTCGAACAGGCCGCTATTCTCCGCTCCGTCAATTATGCTAATTTCGATTGCTGCGAGATTAATGGAAGAAGGCGGCGTCTCCGCTTCGAGCGCTCTGCGTTCTCTTTCCTTTCCCTCTTTCTCTTCCTCTTTCTCTCATGAACGCTCGGTGAGAGCATGACGTTCTTTCCGCACTCGGCCGACCGTGCATAATGCACTCGACTTGCAATTATTGCAGATCCATCCTCGGTCGGTTTCAATCCCACAGCAGCGTCTCTCGCCCTCGGGAAAACGCAGTCAAACAAGATTGCGCTTTATTCATGCACTATATATATATATGTGTGTGTGTGTGGGGGGGGTATATTATAACTGCGTTTTTAAAAATAGAATACATTAATTTTCTAGAACGTCCTTTTTGTTACATACGTCAAATAATCTGCATATTATCGTAAAAATTAGAAAATCACCAAAATGTTTGATATGCAATTTTTCGCGTGCAAATAAAACGCAGTAGAACCCAAGTGCTCGATAGGAATATGGATCGTTGAGTTTCCTCCTCGTGGAAACTAGGATGGATTTTGTTAAGCGTGCACGCGTGTGCGTATTCGCGAGAGATATCGAGTGACGGAGACGACGACGGCCGGGATTCCTGGCGGAATGTATCGGAAACTGGAAGACTCGCATGAGTGTTTTCATGCAAGGGGTGGGTGAGGAAAGGGCGAGAGACGGGAAGCGCAGATACTCGGAAGAGCGGAGTGGTAGAGACAGGTAGAGAGAAGAAAAGAGACGAGATGAGAGGAGAAGAGAGGAGAAGAGAAGAGAAGAGAAGAGAAGAGAAGAGAAGAGGTAGAGGCTTGCCGGCGACACAGGCACATCAATAATACATGTCGTCTGCCGCTTGCTTCACCTCTTGCCCCTTTCGTTGTCTTCCATGATCTTCGAAGCTTATAACTGGCTCTGACGCAAGTAACCTCTCTTACCCTCTCGTTCTCTCTCTCTGTCCCTCTTTCTTTCTGTCTCTTACAATGACTGCATTTTTTACTGTTTTTAACCCGAGACCGATTTTGAATGCGTCAAATCAATCGATACCATTTAGCCGAATGAATTCAATTGTTCGGAGCAGTCTTTGAGAAGGCTAAAAGGTAAATCGATATCTAAACTATATGTGGAATAAAACTTGGCGCAACTGCGTTTGCAATATTTCTTGCGCATTCTTTATAATTAATAATCTCTTTTTCCGTTTCGAATGATAATACATGTAACAAATATGACCGAAAGTTGATCTCCGATTCCGTTCGAGGATAATTTCGGAAACGCGAAACGCTTTGCAAAGTGTGCGCGATGACAGAGCGAAGGGGATTTATCTCCTTGCAGGTTTTCGCG